TATAGTGATGTACTTTTAGCTGCTGTACTGAGATAGGATCACACTTTCCATCTGCTAGATCAGGATCTGCAACCTGATCCAACCTGTATCTTTGGAGGCACAAGTTGCTCTTTGGCTCACTTGATATGACAAATAATGAAATATTGCTCTTTTTTATTGTTTCATTCTTTTTTAAGTGTGGTCATGGAAAAACACTATCCTTGCCCACGTGGTAGGCTACCATGCTCATTCGGGCATGAAAGAGAAATGGTAGATTAAACAAGGGGAATAAATTCTGTTGAATTATTTTTAAATCAAATCATGTTTATTAAGCACTTAGTGTTGGTAACACACCAGTTAACTGTTAAAACTGTGGCCACCTGCTCAGTAAAAAAAAAAAAAAAAAAAAAAGCCTTCCACCATGAAGATGATGTGGAGGTTCATCCTCAGAACTGGTTGTTGATCTGATGGAGCCAGAGCTTCTTCTGAGACAGGAAAGTCTTTAGGTTTTCTAATTCCTGATCCCTGGATTCCTCTTTCATTTTCATTTGCTTAGACTGCAAAAATATGTTGAAGATAAAAACAATGATGAATGAGTTATAACGGCAGCCTCACAATATCAAAGTCTCTGGCATACTGAGCTCAATTAAAACCAGGTTAAGTTTATGAAGAAAATTAAGTCGCAACAAACAGAGCCTTTATGCAGTTATAACATGAAGCTGAATGATTGTTATAATCATAGAAGTCACAATAAAATTGATAAAATTATTTCTGAAACCAACTTAAGTTTGTTTATATCTTTACTCCACCGTTTATGATTAAACAAATGTAACGCTCTTGTTAAATGCGCAGGTCTGACTGCAAGGTTCAGTGTTAACCACTTTGTAGAATCAGAAGTAGGTACGGCATGGAGTCATGATAATGGATAATGGATAATGAGTGGATAATGAGTTCAATTCATGAGGAGTAAATATTGTGCTCATAATCAGTATTGAACCAAAGAAAGCAAGGCAGATGCAAGCCTTTAAAATTGTGATGCTTTTTATGGGTCAAATAGACTCAAAATATTGTAACAGCAGCTGCACAGGGGGGCCCAATCAAATTTTTTGTCAGGGGGCCCATGATTCCTGGCCGTGCCCCTGGTTGTAGATCACTAAACTGTCAATGTTTGTTGAGGCATGAATACATTACTTTGTTAAACAACATTGCATCAAGTTCCACTATTAGGAATATTTTTTTTTATTCTTTGCCATTTTAACAAATATAGTAAAAGATTATTAAGGCACCTAAAAAGGCATACTTTATTAGCCTAAAGTATACACTGAGAAGCAATTTAAAACATACTGAAATTAATCATTTAAAGTAAGCGTTCAGTGAATTTTAAAAAATTCTATTTTGAGCATATATTTTAAACTATACATAAAATATCTTTAAAAGATATTTTAAGCTTATTTAAAATATATTTTAAATGTATACTTACACTTGGGCAAATACATATTTTGTTTACTTAAAGTATACTTTTATTTAATATATTTCTTAAAAGTGTATTTTGGTACAATTATATTTAAGTGTAAAACTTTGAACTTATCTGGTAAGGCACCTGTAACAAAGGAATCGGTGACTATGAATCTTTACAATTAAATAGCACATCAGAACTAGGTTCAACTCAGGAGGAGCGAGGGAAACAATGTGTTGAACAAAACACATTTATTACACATTTTGACAATAATGAAACAGAACAAAATAGTCAATGTTTTCTTTTGGTAGTCCTAAGTCAAGTCAGTCGAGTTCAAAAGTTTTCACTTTCATTTGTTTTCAGTTCAATTCAGTTTTCAGATCTGAATGTTATATGGTAGCTACCCGGGTAGTGTTAATATGTGCAATCCCACCGATCAAGTGGAACAGAAGAAGGTTCTTCTTTGACGTCGTAGTGGACACAATGTCAATCTGCTCTTTTGGATCCTGGCTCGCCGTTCTTCACACGATGTCTCTCAACACAAAAAAAACAACCTGCATATAGCAGAAATGTATTTTACTATTTTGTGATACACCATTCTAAGTCATTTCAGTGAAAGTTTATCTTTCACTCCATGTAAATAAAATAATTTACAGCTGCGATAACCAATTTTGTCTTTTGGCTCAACAAAACATCACAACATAATATTCACTGAATTGACATATCTTTTTCTAGCATTCTTCAATTCCGTACAGTGGAATAAATAACTCACTGTCACTAGATACCTCATCAGTATCAGTATTCCAAGAAGAAAAAAAAAGCGCAATATTAGCAGAATAGCCTTTCAGAGTTAGCCGTAAGCATTGCTAATTTTCATACAAAACATACATTCTTAATCATAACCAAGTATCTCCGATTGTTTTGTTTTTTTCCTTTCAACATTGAACTATAAAATGAAATCACAATATAACTTTTAATACATAACAGCAAAATATTAGCTTGTGGCTAATCGATAGCTAACGAAGAAAATTATAGCACAGAACTCACCGGAGATTCGCATCAAAAAACAAATAAATGTAATATCAAAAACAAAGTTCTCCCGGGTCCGGTTACACAGGAATCGAAAAATCAACCATAGATGAAAACTAGTTCTTGAAAAATATTGAAAATAACAGAGTTTTGTCAATAAAATGACCACAAAACGTTTCTTCCAGTTTCTTCTTCTGGTTATTCTAGTCCATATTCTGCGGCATATCAATGTAGTTTTAGACTACGTGAAACCATTTACTGCCACCTATCGACAACGTAGTGTACTACAGGCTATAATTGAAACCATTTACTGCCACCTATCGACAATGTAGTGTACTACAGGCTATAATTCATATTTGTTAAATTAACATGGGTGTTAGTATGTTTAAGTTATAATGTCAAAATTGGTACAAGCATTCTTTTAGTATACTTCGTAAATATTTATAGGTAGTACACTTAATAATTAGTATACTTCAAATGTACTTACACAAATGTAAGTATATTTGAAGTATACTAACGTATTTTTTTTTCACTAGGGCCTTCCCCAACTTTTTTATGCGGGCCGTATCCTGGTACAGGCCGTCCTCCTGAGATGCAATCCTCCTGTCCTCCGCATCTGTAGTGCTTTGGACCAGCTCCTTTATCTCCATGGGCTGGCTCTTAAGCATTTCAGTCAGAATGTCCACTTTCTGGGAGATAACAGATTAAATGTTCCACTTAGCGAAGAGCAGGATAGAGTGTGGTGGCCCCACCAGCCTCTGGCAGCTCAACAGCTAGCTCCCTATTAGCCATGTTACCTGTGCCAGCCAGTTGAGACTCTACTTCACAGGTCTTGTTGGTTTTCTTTAGGATTTTGGGCGGCATTGTGCTGGAGTGAGTTGGAAGAACGTTTATCAGCTTTCATGTTACTACATTTAGTTGAGAAATCTTAGTAAGAGGGTAAGGTAAGATAAAGTAATTTTATTTATATAGCACATTTTCAGCAACAAGGCAATTCAAAGTGCTTTGAAAAGGGTGGTATTCTGCTCAGATATAAACAATATGGTGCGCAGCTCAATGAAGTTGACCACATGCTACGTCGCCATCTTGAAAAGCCCTCTTAATGCGGTTTTTAAACTCAGCAGAATGCTCCTCTTGTGGTCCAGCTTCTTTAGGAAGAAATTCATCTTAGTAATGAGTGTAGAAGCCACTGAGCCAGAACATCAATGTACATTACTGTGTGGATTTGATTTCAGGTATAAAAGTTAGAAACAAAATGGTTTCAAACTGCAACCCCCTTTTCTTTCTGTTCAACAATCAGTGGTAAATAGTTGTTAACCACTGATAAACAACTGTTTACCACTAATTTAGAAATTAACCCAAGTTAATTGCGGCATGTTGGCTGCTTGACAAAATAACACCCAGGTAGGGACATCTCCTCTGAGCTGCTAAATGAGTTGAAAAAATGGGCCAAACTTAGCTCTTTTTAAAACCCACTTGTTGAGGACCACCATTCTTTGTGTTGGTCTTACCTGAAGTTGCTCGCCTCACCTCCAAAGACACCATCACTGGAAGATGATGCATAAATTCACAGATTTCCTGGTAGCTTGAAGAGTTCACTGGTTTACCTCCTATTTTCACAATCTCATCACCAGGGCAGAGTTTAGTTTCACAGTTCTAGAAGATAAATAAGAAAGCAACTTAGAACACCATTTTAACAATGCTTCACTCTAACACATGATTTTTGGTACATCACTGAAATAAATTGACGTTGAGTCACACGTTACCCATTCAGCAGCACAGTCAGGCTTTAAACCATCAATTATAACTCTCAGAGGTGATGACATAATCTCCAGGTCCAGCCCGAACGTCTCTTCTTCTTTTCTCTTTAAGATAACAGTGTGAAAACCTCTGAAATCTTCCCTTTCAAAGAGCTGTCTGGGCGCCAGCCTTGTAGCTATCTCTTCTCCACTTGGTATGGCGTTAGATAGCATCTGTGGTAAGTGTGGAGATGTGGGTTTTTGTTGCTGGATCAGTGGTTCAGTGTTTTCAGCTTTATCTGATGCCTCATCATTACTGAACTCATCCTCAGAGTATATGACCTTTCGTTGGCGGAAAAGTAGGCTCTTCATTGAGGTGGTACTGGAGGCAGCGAGGGCATGGCAAAGGGGCTCTGTATGCTGATGGAAAGGGACAGAAGTCTTGTCGTGTGATGTTATGCATCCAGGGCTGTGGTTAACATCTGTCACAGAGGTGCTGCATGCTGAGAAAAACATAACAACACAAACTCTTAAGGCATTTTACAGTCCCTCCAGGAAATTACAATGTGGCGATTGCAGCTATTAATGCAAATTCACTCATCATTCACAAAATTTGCACAAACTTGCCATTTTCACCAGTAATCACAAGTTTTCCATATGTTTCACCAATCAGCTTAGTGTTTTTTGTATTTTTTTTTTTTCCTTTTTCACCAATCACTGCAGTGTGGCTGAATTTTGACCAATCCTTTTCGCACCCTTCAAATTTAAGTCCCAAGTCCTTTTAAAAGTAAACTTTCAACATTTGTAGTGAAATGATGTTATATAAAAGCAAAACTAAACTGAGTCAAACTGAAATGTTTTTACCTTGTGGTTGTAGTGGGCCATATGCTGAGGCTCTGCCGCCCAGCTGGTGGAGCCCTTGACCATTGTTTGAGCTCTTCAGAACAGACCCAGATGTGACTGAGTGGTCAGGAACCTCCTGAGAGAAGTACTCGGATAGTTCTGTCTCAGAGCTCAGGGATCCCTACATCAGCAATAGAAACATTGAACAAAGAGGAACATAAAAGCAATGTTGGTTCAGATTCACAGCTTCCAAGCAATTACTACTCCAAAGCAGCTGTGGCTACAATCCAGTATCTTGCCATTATCAGTGTGAGAATGGAAATGACTGATTTCATTCTAAAGCGTCTTTAAGAACGTTTTTAGGGTTGAAAAGTGTTATATAAGTTTGATGTCATTTCATCATTAAAACTGTAGCTTAGTCAGCTTTTAAACTCCTATTACTAACCACAAAAATAGATTTTGTTACAATCCTGACGTCCATCCATCCATTCATCCATCCAGCCATCCATTCATCCATTTTCCTACACCCTTATCCTGTTGGGGTAAGGGTGAAGGGGTGCTAGTGTCTATCTCCAGCAGTCAAAGGGTGAGAGGCGAGGTACACCCTGACAGGTCGCCAGTCCATCACAGGGCAACACAGAGACACAGGAGGGTTGAACGACTACATATTTTTTTAAGGTCGACTACATCATGATAATAGTTGAGTCGATGTCGACTAGTCGCGGTGATGTCATAGTGACGTAAGTGCAAAAACCCTTCACAACTACTTGGAGGCTTTATCAGCTATTTTCACTGCAAATATTGACACCCCCCTCCCCTTCTCCCGCTTTTACTAAGTCTATTATGCAGAACAGGCACGTGCAGAGGGGGGGTCTATGGGTGCTGGAGCACCTGCCCCTTTTGCTCCTTGCCCCCAAGTGCCCTTTTGGTCAATTTATTTATTTATTTTTTGGTATTATGATTTCCTAAGCCCTCTTCTGACACATAATAACATGCCCTAAAATTATTTGGTTTTTTGTTGGGGATTTTTTGTACAACATAATAAGCCAGTCACCTTGTTACCTTTGACCTTTTGCGCATGATGCATGACGCAATTGTCTCTCGCACAGTGAGGTAATGCGGCTAACTGCGGAGCTCAACGTAGCGAACGTTCCAGATTACAGAACAGTTTTTGGTGAATTAAAAANAAACGGTTCTTGAGTTGCCTTTTTCTCTAAAACCAGACACTTTGTTTTCACAAACCAAGTGAAAAATCCAAACCAATACAATAAACTTGCTGCTCTTATGCGACTTTTCTGCCAAGGAGACGAGAAAAGCTGTGATAATACAGTTAATAATGCCGACCATGCCAGCCGTTTTCCATCCTGAATTAACATCTGTGACTTATGGTGAAACAACCTGCTTAACTTTGCCAATATTTGTCCGAGGGCCGTGAATTTTGACCTCTACTGAAGACAGACGGCACATAATCACTAAATCTGTGGTAATTTTTGGAGCCGCCGTAGAGTCTCATTAGGTTTCAGACAAATCCGGATTTCACCAAATGTCAAAGACCTCGGAGCCGCAGACTGATGCTGCATCCAGCTCTTGTACATCCATTTACCTTAGAAGAGGAAAGTAAGTAATCCCAAATGCATGACATTTGGTCCTCGTTTGGGAAGCAGCAAGATGAAATGCAGCTTTCTGGTTGAACAGACCAATAGCTCGCTTTAGCTAACTAAAATTTTATAAGTACATAAAAGAAAAGGCTTGGATTTTTATTCTCTCTGGAGACGTAAACATGCTAGAGTCATGGCTTGTTTTGGTCAAAGCTCCCATCCTCAAGTCATGTTGCAGAAATTATTCCACTTGCTTTCTAGAGTTAGAAGATAATCCAAGTGTAAGAAGAAGAACTTGTCATCAACGCTTCAACATTTTATAGTTTCTTCAGTGACTCGTATGGAGTATCTGTCTATTAGTGTGGAGGTGCGCTAGTTAGATAGCAGCGCACACAGAAAGCAACTCCGTTCCCTTTTTACCAAAACACTTTCACACCTGGAGTCTAGGGCTGTAACGATTCCTCGAATGATTCCAGTACCTTGATTATTAAAATTACTCAAGAAAAATTTAGGTTCATTAAATTATGTTTTATTATTTAACGCATCATGTTCCAGTCAGATCCTTATTTGTGTTGGGCAGCGCTCTCACTTCTGCCTACGAGTTGTTGCTAAATGCTAGCGGCACAACGTCGAATTGTCGAGTTTTTATCATTTTTTGAGAGAGAGAGATTTTTTTCTCCGAGTACTCAATTAATCCTAACAATAATCGATAGAGTACTCGATTACTAAAATATTCTTTTACAACAAGCCGAATGGAATCTGTTTCTTTTTCTTACAAATCCAGTCAGTGGTTTCAGATAACAATTCGTCATTGTTGCAATTTCTCATTTTTACTTAGCTTTTATATAATTTTATTATTATTTTAAGTCAAACTTTTTGTTATCATCTAGGTATTTATTGTAAAGCAAATGAGTTCAATTTATTCATTTAAAACTGCTTAAATAAAGTGGATTTACTTTGATTCGAAACACTGGACTAGTATGACTGTGTGTGTAGTATTGCTACAAAGTGTATGTCTGCACAACCATTTATTCTGCTGCTAAGAACTGTTTCAAGAACGCCAGTATTGATAGTTATTTCTTCTTCACCATGCTGTGATTTCAATTCGTAAGAGTTAAGACAACAGAAAAACAAAAGTCAAAGCATCACGGGTAAAAAGAAGGAGGCCGTTTAGAGAAATCCAAGAACAATGGAGTCCACCACTTCTTGAACTACGATGTAGGCACTATTAAGCCTAGCCAGGCTTGATAGTGTTGCCAGTCAGACTAAGTAATGCCATCTGCTCCTCTGAATAATTTCCACTTGAAGGAAAAGACAGCAGAGGACAATTTACAAGGAAAATTAACTGGAAAGATGCACAGAACAAGTGACTCTGGACAATTCTACTGTTAAATTCACAAATATAGGTCAGAGATTGAGCCTCGCTTTACACAGTGGTGTACATTATGCATCAGACTGCATGAAAAACATATGCTGTCCTTAAAGAGCTCCAAGTAGCCTGTGCTACGATGACAGAGATCCACATACAGACGTGTGCGATGTGTTTTAAAAGGGAGAGCGTTTTTCTGAAACCCAAAGCATTTATGACAAGCAGGTTCGTAGCAAGTTAAGCTTTTAAGTGCTGCCCCCCTCACACACGCAGGCCATCCACCAGTCCTCCCCCTCAGCATCATCGGAGCAATAATCCAGCCACATTCCTGTAATTGTCTACTGGTTTGACCTAATCCACCCTGACATAACATCAATAAAGTCCATAAGTAGGCCTACCCTCCACCGCACTGCCAGGCGAGCATGACGGCAGAGATAACGGATAGAAAACATGCATGCAGAGGGCTAGAGCATGGCCAGGTTTGCTTATTAATGAATTTACAGCGTACTTCACCGTATGTGACGGCTCTTACAGGACAGTAAAGGAAGACAAAGTGAGTAAGATGCAACTGATAAGTCAGTCTTAAAAAAACTCACTGAATCTGGGTGATGCAGAGCCCATACAAAGCAGCGTAACTTTGTGCATAATTGGCAATTTTTTAAAATTAGCTAAAACATTTGAGGTTACGTTATAAATTTTTCCTTAGAATGTAACCTCAATAACCTTCTGAATAACTTTGGTATGACTTGGAATCGTGCAATTTTTCGGCTTGATCTGCCATCAATATCAAAAATATCTTTCTTTGAATAGGAAATAGTTCATACTACCAGGTCATGGTGATAACAACGTTCTTTATTATGAATGCGGTAAAGTGAGCAAAGCAACATATCTCCATTGTTTGTAAGATGTTTAAAATACAGTTTGTACAAGGTTTCCCCCAGAAAACTTGCTAAGCCCGGTCAGTCATTCATCCAGCGACCCATCGTGTTTTTGAGTTAAAAATATTTAAAGTCGACAGGAAATTTGAAAGTATCAGTTATTGGAAGATTAACACCTGGACACCAACGATAAAGTCTTAAAAATACAAATATTTTGAAAAGACTAAAAAACATAAATAAGCAATGCTTAGCCTGGTGGGGAGACAAGTAAAGCCTGGTGGCCTGCCAGGCTGATAATACACTGGGGGAAACCCTGTTGTAAATTTTAAAACTAACTCTCCTGGTTCATCACTGTATTGTTGATTCTCAACAAACTTGGATGCATCATCACACTCCTGATTTTATGATTAAACAGCACAAATAACAGATGTTTTGGAAACTCTTAGCGGTTTTCACTGGGTCATGTTTGTGTTCATGTTGACATCATGTAATTCATGAACACCAAGTTCATTCCTCAACTGTCTAAGTTTTACCGTTTACCCAACAGGGTATTATTGCGCTACAAAGACTTTACAAGTAGTTTAAAAGGCTGCTTCTTTCATTCATTTACATTTTTCCTGTTTCTAACATACATGTTCACAGCTGGTATTTTAAAACCCACTACGCTCAACAAGCGCCGCCTCATTCAGGCTCTGGTTGGCAAAGGCAGCCGCCTACTGCAGACCCTGTGTTTTGTTAGGTTCTATTCAGATCCTCCTTTCTTGCATCAATAGGGGCCTGCTGGTTCTTATTGTCCTCTGATGCTTTGGCAAAGCAAAAAGACAAAAAACCCTCCAAACAACTAAGATGTATTCACCAGACTGGGGGATTTGTTTAGCAAAGCAATGGACAGAGGCCTCTGAGGTTTTGAGGCTTTTTAAGATACTGATGGAACATGTTGCAAACAAAAAGTTAGGATTTTATTGAAGTTAATCAACAAATTACCAACTACAGAGGAAAGAATCCCATTACCATGAGCAGAGACTAGTAAGTATAGTTTCTGAAGGCGCCATATTGTATTGATCTGTTAACGGACTCTTTGTCAGGAGAATCTGGATGATCCCAAAGGAGCTGAAGAATCAAGAATTAGCAACATGAACATGGTTATGCGCTTTTAAAGTGCTACATTACATGCGCTCACATTTGACTGCATAGGAAATCTAAAGTACAGGAATTAGTGAATCGAAGCCGAGGACAAGACAGAACTTTGCAAATGTGAGAAGTTCTGTCACGATGGAAAATCTTTGAATTCAATAAATTAAAAAAAAAAATGTAAGTTTTGTGAATATTCAAATTCAATTTTCCACCCTTTGCACTGATCCTCAAGGTGAAAAAACAAAGAGAATGTTCAGAGTTAAAACCCCCTTAGAAACTCACATTTTTTTAATGCAATTTTTTTATTTAATCCTGTTACATTTTGTTATTATATGGAATTTATTACACTTTGTATTTTAACCATACAATTTAATTCCTTTTAGGTTAAAATTGTGCTTACTTTATAAAAAGAAAAACAACAACAAAAAAAAGCATTTTCAAGAAAAGTTAAACAGTTTTAGAAGGACGTCATACAAAAAAGATTTTATCCACCGCGTTCTGTTATATGAGCTTTGATTTTCTTCTGCTTTATAAAAAAAATACTTTTGAAGCAAGGTTACACTTTACCTAAATGCTGTTTAACTTTTTAAATTAAAAAAATATATATATTTTGGCTCAATAGTCTTCCACCAAGTTCACTGCAAGTCTTGCATCTTACATATTATTAAATATATATTATTATATGTTAAACTGATTTCAAAACTGTTCAGACATTTTCTTTGGCCAAAATGTTTATTTTTCTTTAAATAACAGGAAAATTATCAGAAAACTATGATAATTTACAGAAAACCTCTAAGTATATATTATTATTCAAACATTACATAAATATTAGTACAATTGTATAATAATTGTAATAATCATGTCATGTATTCTTTTAGGAGTAGTAGGAAAAAAATGCTTGCTTCTCTGTTTTATACAAAAACCATTATGTTGTTTATTTTCTTTATCTTGATTTTAAAAACACCTTGGTGTATTTTTTCCCCAGATAATCAGACAGTGAAAACCTCGTACAAATCAAAGTAATATCATCCCAGCTCCGCCTGAAGCTATGGTACCTACACTGGGAGGGGGTAAAAAATAGCAGTGGTGGCCTACATATACCTGCAGTCGTGTTAATGGACTGAATCTGGTGAACCTGAAAGGCCAAACTGCTTCAAAACGCTGTTCACGTGCAGCCAACCAATCCCAGCTGATGGCTTCTCCCTCCTCGCTGACGACTGACTCCCAAGTCCAACCGCGACACTCAGTCACGATGAAAATGAATGAAACGACTCTCAGCGGACGCACTGATGGGGGTCAAGTTAGTGTGTTGGCCCGCGTCCCACTGAAAATAAGCATGAGTGACGACCCGACACGCTAAACGCCAAGAGCAGAGGTGAAGGCAAGAGAACCAACGCTGGACATCGATAATTTGTTAGTGATGATCACTCAGTGGGAACAATCTCAGAAGATTAGAGGAGAAGGGCTCAAGTCTAACAATGTATTTACTCGCTGCAGCTGCTCCAAAAAAGGTCAGAAGTCAACTAGAAAGTTCTTCTGCTCTTAGTCGTTAGTAACCCCTGAATCTTTCATCAGCTGCCTGCGCCTGTAACTGAGAAATTGGCCACAGCTATTCGGCGCTGGGAGAAAGCAGAAACCGCTTTAAAGCCTCGCGCGCAGCAGATGGAAATTAAATTTTCATTGTCAAAGTAAGGCCAATACGCCAAAGTGGGTAATCTTCACCAAAGGCAAACGACTGAGGATTGTGTTTGCAGGCACTCAAAATGCTCTTTATTATTAGCAGAAATACGACACAGCACTTCAATCAGACAGGAACCAACATCTGGCTTGACTGGTCTGAAATGCACAAACAACTGAAACCCGATATTTTTCTTGTCTCTGTGACATTAAGCAGACTAAACATTCCCAGTTTAAGGTCACAGGATTACCAAATTTACTTCTGTTTGCTGAATACCAGAACAATGACATCATCTTGGAGACTTTTTTTTTTAACTTTTACTCTCTTCAAACTCAGCATTTTCCATGCATTTGTCTAGTTTCTGGTAGAATTCCCTCTTAAGCTGCATGATGGGGTTGAAACTACGTTTGTCCGCCCACATGCGTCATGATTGTTTACTGGAAGTTTGGTCCATTCCTCCAGTCAGAACTGGTGTAACCGAGTCGGGGTTGTAGACCGCGTTGCTCACACACACCTTTCAGCAAACTAATCTTACTGCTGTTGAAATGGCTTCTTCCATGCCGAGTGGCTTTTCAAACATGTTAGATTTTGAATCGTAACACTCACTTAGCAGCTGTACGACGTCTTCTGCTTTTGTAAGGTTTTAGATGTTTAATTTTTAGTATTTTTTATATTTCATTTTACTTTTTTTAATTGTGTCTTTTTAATGAACACTGATTTATTGTATTTATTTGTTTTATCTTGTTAAACACTTTGGATCAATGCAAGGCATTGTTGCAAGATGCTACATAAATAATAAAGTGTATTATTATTATTATTATTATTATTATGATCTGAGGCCGATATGAACACTTTTCATCCAAACATGTCTTGATTTATTCTGTTGTCACACAAGAAAAGAGTGAGTTTGGGTTGTTACCTTGAAATGCGCTTGCAGGTTTCAATCCAATTAGCTCAAATGTTGCTAACTAAGCTATTCTTAGCATACAAAACATCATTGCCAAGTGGGTTTTCCTAAATATTTAAATTCATACTACATTATGTTCTCTAAAAAATCTGACTAAGTTTAAATTTTGGTAAATCTGACCTACAAGAGGAAACGTTTTGTGTATTTTAATGTCAGACATCAGGAGCGAAACGGGTTATGCGTTTTATTTCTGGTTAAAACTGTGCTAAGGCATTACAGTGTGATTGCGAACAAAACTGTCTTGTGTTCAGTCCAGTCACAAAGCCTGAAAATGTAGAGATGTTCTTCAGTCACAGCTGACAGGGTCGGTTGGTAGAGATTCATCCCTACAGTCGGGTACGGTGCAGCGAAAACAGACATACTTTGCACAGATCACTACGATCGTCATCCATTTTCTCTGATGAAACATCCAGAGTTTTATCAGTGCTGCCTTCCTCAGAGTCAGAGACACTCTGCTGAAAACAAGCCAGACCTGTCGCTCCTCTTTTCACCTGGATGACCACGGGCTGTCCTCTGAGTATATCACAGGCTGAGTGCAATAACTATCCTCTGCAGCCACATGAACCAGCCGGTCCTGCAGGAAGTGGATCATGACACAAGAAATACTTTCAGTAGATGATCCACATGAAACGAACATCTGCCATCTTCAACCAAATTGTAAATTGCTGCTGGTTATGCTTTAAGTATAGTGTAAAGTCTTCAGTGGATTATAGTATTTTTCCTCACACTAAGCTGTCTATGCATTTTTCTATACCAGATGCAACCTGTTTGAGGTCACGGGGGATAAAACCTATGCCAGCTGTCAAGAGGGGGAAGCAGGCCATGAACGGGTCAACAGTTCATCAGAGGCCCACAGAAACAGTCCAGACAAACACAGTGCCTGGGTTTAGTTGATGGAAGAACGATCAACAGCGCACATACAGGCCTGGACTACAGACCTCTGGTCCTGCTGACCCATCAGCAACGACTACTTAACAACAATAGATGTGTTTCCATGATATTTCACTAACATCCAGAAAAACAATTTCAAAATTGCAGTATTTCCACTAAATTTGAGACGCAATTACAATCACACAAGAATGAGTTTAAGTGATAAGTCATTAAAACCTCTCAGGCCTAAATGGAGCACAGGTGTTCTGTTCATCTACCGTAATTCCACCACACGTTGCGCGATCAGGGAAACTACAACGGTTTCTGAAAGGTGAGATGTTGTGCTTTCCAACCGATGTCGGGTTATTACGGTAATTTCTCTCTCGCCATAGCAGGAGGTGAAATTAATCTGTGGGACGCTGGCAAATTGCGAAAATAACTGCTAGATATCGAAAGTTCCAGTTGTTATGGATAAATGGGCAAATATATATTTACTCACAAGACATTTAAAGAACTCCGTACAATTAAAATAAGCAAAAATGTCCAGGCGGAGATTTTAAATTTAGAACGTAAAGGGTTAAAAAACAAGTGGCGTCATCTCTCTCCTACCACTTCCTGTCATCTTCGTCATTTCCGTCAGTAGTAACATTCAGTTGTTGATCACATGATTTGTGTAATGCAAAAAGCGTTTCCTTTTTGCAAAATACACTAATTTCAATAAAGCCGTAAAACCACCTCATCCGCACAAAAACTTTTTATCGGTGAGTTGTTTCGAAATTTTAAAGTTTCCATTAAGGAAATTTCTTTTTGTAATTCCAAATTGTGCAATAATATAGTTAACAGAAACACAGCCCTGTAAAATTATTGATACTTGTAAAATGTTTTCATATATTGTTACATTAAAACTTCAATTTCCATGCGACTGCCCGGTTCCTACTGAAAGAAAAAAACAAAACATTTCCAGAGCTTACAGACTTTGACTTTGTGGCAAAACAGTTGAAGACCAAGGATCTAAACTAAAACAATAGTAATTCAATTGCAGCTCAAATTAACAACAGTATAACTCATGAGTCATACTAAAAATTCGCTAGAGAAAGAAAATTTAAGATGGTATATTTAGAGTTTTGACTAAAAACTTGCCCATAATCAACCACGGCTTTTATCGGCTTATCAATGTTCTGCATGTTCGCGCACAGAATGCAATAAGTCAAACCTTCTCAAGATTTTAATAGTTTCTAAACCGTTTCTTGCACAAAATGAGGCACACACACAAAAAAACCTAAGATAGTTGTAGTTGCAAGAAGTGGGTTTACTTCCATCTAAAAAATGTGCAGGAAAGATCAGAAGGGAGTGGAAATTTGCAAATAAATCAAGTCAGCAAAGCCTAATTTAAAAAGACTGAGTACATTAACAGTGCGGTGAATCCCTGCAGAGCTCAGCCTAAGACAGCAACACATCCCCAAGAGCCCTAAAGAGGAATCAATGGACGTCAGCAGCATCAAAGGAATTCGTCACACTCTTCATCACACACACAGCAAAGTGAGCATATTAAACTCAAAGAGACAGCTTCAGACGAGCATCCAGTCTGAACAAAGAGCGAAACACACAGGGTGACAGTTCCCTACCTTGTGGGTGTAAGGTGCTTGTCCCAGGTTGATTCCATCTTTTGCCAGCTTGTCTCTTATCAGCACCTTCAGCTTCAGCTTGGGATAAGTTACAAAGTCGTTGCAGTCTGTGAACCTCGGGTTGTGGTTTCCGGGACAGGAGGCCTGGTGTACGGCCGTGGTCTGCGCGTGTGACCTCAGCGACCCGGGGTCACGCACTCTGTCAGCATGGTGATGAGCAGAAGCCTCCAGAGGCTCCAAGGTGAAATAGTAGCCAGGTGCTCTCCTTCTGTCCTCCTCTATGAGCTCCTGCACGGCTGAGAGGAGCCGGTGCCTGTGGTACTGGACTTGGACGCCGATCGCGTCCAGATCCGGCTCTCCAATCTGCTTGCAGACTTCTAGGTCGTCGTAGCCGTTGTCAAGGAAAGACTCGACGTACTGGGCCAGGTGGAGCTTCGAGAGCCACTGGAGGACGAGGTTTGCCCCCTGGCTCATCTTGGGACAGAATTAACAGGGCGAATTTAATTCATACTCATCATCTTCATCTCCCCCTTGGCAGTGCAGCTGAGTGGTCCATGCAACACAAACAGAACCAGCTTCAGCTCTCCAAATTAGGCACATCTGCTGGTAAGTGTCAGAAAGTACAGGTAACTCATATTTGAAGCATTCAGAGAATTAAAAAAAGGCGCTGCCTGAAATTATCAGGCGTGTTCAGGTCATGTACCCAGCTGAAGGTTCAGGCTTTAATGACCTCCACCTGTGACGTCACGTAAAAGTGTACAAATGAGGTAAATTCACGGTCCGAACAGGCGCGAGACTGCATCTTAGGCATTACAGCGAAGTTCTTCTACTTTCAGACTTTTTCCATTTACAACTAATGAGTTACCTCAGAGTTGATACTTTCTCTCAATCCGGGAACAAACCGCGTAAACGTTTCCCCAGGACCATCCTCTTTGTTTCATTCATCGCAGCGGTGAAAGACGCGGAGCTCCATCAAACATTTATCCGGAGCAGAGTGCGAAGGCAGCAGCCGAAACAAGTCGCTACTGTCACAAACAGAGCGTCAAAAAACAAAGAAGAAAAAAAAAGAAAAAAACCTCCAGAGGAGCAGAGCGGAGCGCAATTAGTTCAGTCTGTTCTGCACCTACGCCGCGTTTTAAGTTTCCTGTCCCTCCGCTTCTGCGGACAGTTCAGTCAGAGTGAGGATGCTGCTGCTGCCCCGGCTTCCGACCGATGCGGCTCCCTGCCCGCCGGCCGGATGACGAGAGCACGCCGAGCGCTGCTGCCACCTGCAGGGCAGTTTGAGAAGCGCATCCAATAAAATAAAATAAAGATAAAAATGTTGAAATCAAATCAAAGGGTCTTCTGCAAAATCTGCGAAAATTAAAAGGATTTAATTTTTTTAGCACTTGCTTTCAAGAAGTGCTTAAATATTCAGCCAGAACTTGGCTAGAAAGTTGTCAATGACAACAAAAAGTATTGTTTCTCTCCCAGTTAATGAGGGGAATTCATTTCAGCCCAAAACGATTCTTGTCTCAGGCAGATTTAGTCAAAGAAATGTGTTTCTGATAGGAAATGAAACAGAAAATCAAATGATTAGAGTTCTTTAAAATGGTTGAAGCTGCTTGATATGTTGTGGATAAAAGAAGGGTTCAAATAATTTAATGGGGGCCCAAACATATATCTGTCCAACTCAGATATGTTAAACCTGACGGTTCTTAAAAGATGACACGTAAAGTCTAAAAAAATATCAGGGGAATCTTTAACATCCAACTAAAGAAGAAGTGAGGCAAATGTAATAAAAAAAAATATGTTTTGTATTTTTTTGTTTGTTTTAGGACAGTAAATTCACAACTGGAACTGTGACCTGATGAGTGTCAAAAACTTCTCAATAAAATGATTACATAAGAACAGAAACCACAGGACAAATGTTACGTTGAGTTTTACATTTATTATTATTCTTTTTTACATTGCACAATAATATCTATATATACTGTATCTACAGTCTAAATTGTTTGTGGCAGCAGATTAAGTCAGACATCCATGTGAAATTGATTTTAATAAAACTGTACAAATTTTTTTTTATTTTTTTGCCAAACAAAATACTGCAACTCCACAGATGTTCATCATCCCAGAAGACGGATGGATGGACGGAAGTATGGCGAGAGCTCTCCGGCACGATGCTCGACTGCGGGACGCGTTTCTACAGCGCAAAGGGGGAAAAGCGAGAGGTTCTCTGAAGCAAACAGTGACCTTAACAAATATACCAGAGAGAGAGAAAAATAAAATGTATATATATATATATATATATCATCCCCCAGCCCCTCCCTTCACCCCTTGCACTTATACGACTGGCATGACCGGATGAGGGAGGCGAAACGGGAACTTCAGGATTTTTGTTCAACGTGGTGCTAAATACAAATGCCAGAACAGACGATCTCTAAGAGGGATAATACATGGTCGTTTCAAGTTTGTAAACACGTAATATCATGCATCCTTCAATGTGCAATAAGAGACCATTTAGGACGTACAAGTTGCAAACTGAAGCACTTTTAAAGTCGAGGCCACACTTTTTGTAGAAAGAACCCAGCAGAAAGAGGTGATCCTGCTGCAGTAGCAAAGCTTTAAAATCGGATGAGCGACTTGGATACGTACAGGAAAATGGTTTTCTGAATGACGATGAGTTATGAAGAGCCACTGGTTGGACATAGACGTCACTTCCTCCATCTCAAAATTACATACAGGTACTTATTTTAATAGATTGTTGAAATAAAAGTATATATTCATTTATATATATATATATATATTTGTTTTAAAATATAAATATTTTATAGTTTCTTTAATCTGACATGAACAAAATCTGAGAATGAAGAAATCATCATAATCAGCGAATGATATAAATACGCACAAGTTTACGATGTTTTGGTCCTTCAAAAAAAAGAAAAAAAAAAGAAAAAAAGAAAATGGGACATTAAAAATCATAGCAAAATTTTACAGAGTACAAAAAATAGTGCAAAACCCACATATTTTACTCTTCCAAATGGGTTTATCTCAGCAGTATAAAGTGGAGTAGATTAAATCAGCTGTCTTGACAAGTGAAGGGTTTCTTTGAAAACTGCTGCGTAATCCATCGCAGGGTTCAGACATTTCGGTCTTTTCCAGCCGACGGCTCTGGATTTTTCTCTCCGGTGGATCAATCAGTTTGGAAAGAAACTCTTCCAGCTCGCGCTGCTCACCTTTCTGAACAAAAATATTAAAATGAAAGCAGGGCGAGACGGTGAGGAAAGTGTCGTGCTTACACGAGAGAGAGAAAAAAAAGTCAGTCTGCTCTCCTTTGTGTACACAGTAGATTTCGACGAGTGTCAAAATACGATCTTAGTATTCCGGAGGGGAAAAATCCATAAATAAAGACAACTCTGTGAAATAAAGGTAACTCTTTGGTGTCAGAAAACAACATGGCCGCAAGCGTACAGTGTTGCCGAAGCTCGCGCGCTCAGATTCGCGGTCAAACCGTCGCGCTATTTACAACATTTGGCAGCAATTTGAAGTCTTGCTTCTCCTATGTTAGCTTGTAACAGCAGCAGATCCTTGCAGTTTGTGAAAGGAAACAAAAAGATTGAATCTTTTTTTGACAAAACACTCCAGGAAAAATGAATTAAACCTGTAGAGATCTGATGTAATGCACTGCATCAATATGGCGGCCATACTACACATATACCTTCGTATACGCATTTTCACAAACACAAACCTGTACAACGATTAGCAAAAGTATTCATACCCCTTGGAACTTTTTTTTTTACTTTACTATGTTACAAACTTCATTGTCCTCAATGAAAATCTTAAAAAATTGTGGTCTGTCCAACCTCATTTTTTTAAGATACCACTAAATAAAAAGTGCAACCTAATTAGCAAATGGAGTGGAACTGTGTGTAATTTAGGCCTGGAATAAAATATGGCTCACCTGCTAAGAGCAATTGCAAACAAATATCACAAAGACCAAAAAAAAAAAAAAGAGGGGACAGGTCAGGTGAAGAAGCTTCAGTTTTGAACATCTCACAGCAGACTGGAGTCAAAAACATTGCACGTCACCCTAAAAACACCATGGCGGTGGGAGTATCATGCTGTGGGACTTTTCGTATTGAACGGAAGCTGCAACAGAGTTCTGTGGCGAAGAGTGATGACGAGCCAAAGCATACAGTCAAAGGTTTGGATTACAATCTGTTGCTTTGTTAGAACAATCTAGTCAACGTTCGTTGAAGCTCTGTGGCAAAATGTTAAAATCACACACCAAAACAAATCATAGTAAAGACAGGGCTGAAAACCAAAACATACCACAATTTACAAATTTGAATTTATAAACACGAAAACCATCCAAAATACTCCCAAACCTTCACAACTACGCTCTTCTTTGATGAGGAAAAGCTCACAAGGGATGAATACTTTTGCAAGTCACAGTAGCGTACACATAGCTAGAGGTTAGCGTTTACGCTTCATGAGGCAAAGGCAAACAAACAAAAACAAAACAAAAAAGAGAGAGAGAGTGTTTAAAAGAGCAGTTCATAGAGAGACGAGCTGTGGCACTGTGTGGAGCACGTCACTGTGCTCGGTCATGTCTACCAACACAAACAGCATCACCACTTCCGTTGTGCTGTAAGAGAAATACGCTTTTTCTTCCATGTGCATCTAAAAAAACAAAAAAAAAGATAAAAATCATCTTCAGCCACACCAGGATGGAAAAAAAGGGTTGATTTTTTATCTCAGAAAACTTCTAAAAAAACCCCAACATTTATCCTTGTTAAACTACCAACAATCTTTGTTTAGCCTGTCACAAGATCTGACTACAGCACTCGGGGGTTTTCCAGTGTCTCAACTCATTTGTTGGAGAACAATGTACACTCTTCATTGGGGGTAATCATTTTAAGCACTTTATCTTTTAATGCCCAACACACAATCTTCAATGCCAAAACATTTTTCTACCTTAAATAAAAACCAAAGTGACTCAGAAAACATTCTCGCCCGAAAAGCGACTCGGTAGCCGTGAAAATGTCGATGGCAAACTACTGAACTACCAGCCCTTGTTCAGTTAAGAGGCAACAGACATCTGTCTGTCCAATTTATCTACTCTACTACTCTAAGTGCTTCAAGGCCCTTTCTAGATGGAGAAAACAGAGAAAAAGGACAGAAAAACTAAACAGAAGTCCTTCCCAGTCACTCCTGTGGAGCCTCACGTGTTCACTCGATTCGTTTCGAAGGATCAGACTTTTCTCCTCGTTTAAGTTCGCTGTGTTTGGCAGACACAATAAAGGGCTTCGAAAGGAAAAAAAAGGGGGTGGGGGGGTGGGAAAGTGCAGCCAGGCCACCCAGAGTACATTACATTTGCAGAATTGTCCCTCCTCCCTTCCCGTCTTCGCTCGACAAGCAACAGTTGTGGATATACGTCGATCTTCTATCGTTGTCGGGTGAAACGGAGGAAGAGAAGCCAAGGAGCTCGCTTCTCGTCTGTGTTGACTGGAGTGATGGAGAGTGAAGATTATTGTGCTGAGAGAAAGAGCATGATTCTGTTGAGCAGAGCACCCCCAGCCCGCCCGCACGGAAAAAAACAGGGGAAAAAAAAAGAAAAAAAGAGGAGGAACCCCAGTTCCCCGGAGATACTGGTGTGCATGACAGAGTCCAGCGCTCCGCTCGCTGTCATCAGAGCTGGTACCACTTTTTATCTTTGTACTTCACCATCATCTGGGGAGGGAAACAAGAAAAATAACAGATTGATTTCAGAGGGAGAACAAGAAAACAAACCAGGTGAAAACGGAGGCGGTTCCGTACGTTGTGGGCGTGTTTCGAGAAGGACTCTGCGCTGGCCATCATGGCTGCCGTCCTCTCCTCCAGTTCTCCCAGTTTCTGCCCTCTCTCGTCCAGCGCCACCCGGGCGCGGGCGAGGTCGCCCACCACCCCGGACGCCGCGCCCTTCATGCCCTCCATGCTGCCGGGGCCCGGGATGTGCTGGGCCAGGCTACGCGAGGCCTTGCCGGCCGTCGTTTCGCCGAAAAGAAAACGAAAAAAAAAAAAAAAAAAAAAGACTGACGATTTTTTGATTAATAAGATTTTTAAAAAAAAAAAAAAAAAAAAAAAAAAAAAAAAAACGATTTTTTTTTTTAAAAAAAATTTTAAAAAAAAAAAAAAAAAAAAAAAAAAAAAAAAAAGAATCGGCACATTTTGCAGATTTTTCATTCATGCATTTAACATGCAATACTATAAATACATTAAAAGATGAAAATGAGCAAATTTCTTTTTTAATTAAGTAAAACATGTCATTGCCTAAAATGCAGTAGCATAGCTTTCATAGAGCTGAAACTATAACACTGAAGGATCTTTGGGCGACACATTTTTACTGTCAGGTGTTTTCATCCAACATCTATGTATTTGGCACAGATTTGGTTAATTACTGCTGTGAATACATTGTCTTCTTCTCCTTTTTAAGTCTTTATGCTCCAGTTAACGACTAATCCATTACTAGATTAATTGATGATTATTTCAATAATCGATTCATCACGATTAATTTGATTAATCGTTTCAGTCCCAGTTAAAACCATAACAAAAATAAATATAAAGAGTTGATCCTAGCTGATACGTCCCTCTAAGATTAAAAATAGATGTACTCAAAACAAAAACAAAAAAACTGAATTGCCTTATGTGATGTCAGCAGATGCATCGAAACATGGAAGCTTATTTCTGAGAGGGTTAGTTTATCTTCATTAAATAACAACAAAAAAAGCAAAGTGTATAAAAAGCTGACAATCATATGTTCTCTAGACAAACTTTAGTAAAGTGACTTTGTTTGCGCATAAGGTAACGTCTTGTTAGCAGCTTTAAGCAGCGAGCCAACGCTCACTGGTCTATTGAGCAATCAAAGGGCAGTGAAAGCATCACTGATGGGAAAACTGCTGAGAACGAAGTGGAGGTATTATGTAAATGTGATGTAGAAGGTTAGAGCGGCCTTATGTAACGCCGAAGGACGCTGCGCACTCACAGAGGTCTTCCCTGTCCAGAGACTGAGCTCCTCCGCCAAAAAGGCCTTTGAAAAAGCCTCTGTTCGGAGCCTCCGGCGTCTCCACGGGGGTAAATAACTCGCTGAGCATTTCCTGAGGACGACAAAAGCATCAGCACGTCCGTTTCAATATATTCTCCCTCAGGATGTTCGGTCCAAACGTCAGCTTTAAAAACAAAAACACAACCCAGGATCTGAAATAATGCAATTCCTTACCAAAACGTCAATACTCCCTTCAATAGCTAACAAATTAACTTTACGATTTTCACTGAGGTTTTACGTGACAGACGAACACAAAGTGGAGCATATTTGTGAAATGGAAGAAAAAAGAAAACAAATTTCTACCAAAAAGGGTATTTATATTTAGCCATCAGTACAAAAAATAAAATCCAGCGCAATTATTGGCCATCAGAATTCATTTCAGGTTTCCTTTTGAAGCCTCCCCACAGCATGATACCACCACCTCTGTGTGAACTTTATACTTTATAATAAAATCACTCAAGTAAAATGTAAGCAGAGTAAAAATACTTCTAAAAGTAAATTCTTTCCAAAAAGTTTCTTGAATAAATGTAACTAGTTGCTATCCACCTCTGCACACAGGCAGACATTTTTATTTTCTACAAAGCAGGTGACCTCTGATTGCTCTGGATTTTATTTCAGGTGTTAAAATAAAGGGAGCCGAATGCAAAAATGACCCACACTTTTATATAGAAAACTATGCATCATTTTTCACTAATTATGCCACGTTAAACAGCATTAATACGATTTTAAAGGAAAAGGACTTTCTGATCTCACTCTTCCCCCACAGCATGATGCTGTCACCCCTACAGTGAAGACGGTGCGTTCAGGATGCTTTCTGCTCCTCAGCACATAGGCAGACATTTTTATTTTCTACAAAGCAGGTGACCTCTGATTGCTCTGGAATTTATTTTAGGTGTTAAAATAAATCTAATCAATCTGTAGGCAGATTGATTTCTGCCTACAGAAATCAATCAGTTGTTTGTCAAAAATTGCAATCCTATGAGCTGATTTCCTCGCTGCCTGACCTGAAGGTTGTCGCACGTCTCCTGGCTGTAGGTGATCCTCTGGATCTCGGTGGGGGAGGTCAGGTACAGAGCCTGGCCCAAGTTAGAGAAGCAAAACGTTCTGGCTATCCGCATATCTGTCAGCGGCAAGTAGTTGATGTCCAGCAGAGGCCGCAGACTGGGCAAGCTGCAACCAGCAGACGGAAAGATGTCAGAGGGACGTGGTGCTTTTACAAGTTCTACAAACGACTTCATTAGTGTTCAGATACCACATATCAACACTTTTGGCAGGAAATTTAAAGAGAGGTGAGGCGTTTTGATCAGAGGTATCGAAACTGCAGAGTACCAGCGCATACCTCAGGGACATAATGTGGCCGTTGGCACAGAAACAGGCAATGCAGTAGGTCCCGGCCATCTGCACCACGTCTGCGCGCAGCACAAATGAGGTCTCGGTGATGTTGTGTTTGTAGATGATGGTTTGGGACGTCATGGCCACCACCTTGGCCTGCTTCTCCGAACACAGCACGGCAAACTGGGAGTCCTGGCCTTCCTGCGAGGAGGGAGGCGTGGCCGGCCTGCGCCTCCGGACCTTCTCTTTCTCTTCGTCTGAGGCGTTGGGGTCGTACCACGCTTCGCAGGAAGGGGGCAGCAGAGTTCCAGCAGCATCCAGCAGCGCCATGGTCAGGATGCCTCCTTTGAGTTGGACCAAGGTGCCTGGAAATGCGAGTTTGGATTATAAAACAACAAAACACAGCATTACAAGAGAGGAATTAGGGTTTCTGCAGGTTTCAGCAGCTCAAATTTAAGATGTTTTAAGGCCTTTAAGAGTAAAATGTAAGACCTATAATCCAAAATGTACAAAAGAAAATTATAAATGTTATAGTTTCTATAAGTTATAGATTATAGCTCTTATCCTACTCTCACTTTAGTTGAAGATAATTTGTCATCATAGCTGCTATCTGTGGCTCTCATTTTGTTCCCTCCAAATATATTTTCCTCCACTCTAACAACTTTGTTGAAGTCAAATTCTTCAGTAAGTGAGACTGGTCTTTCTGTTTGACCACTGTGTTTAAAATCCACTAAATCTTCGACCTCAGAGTTGGTGTCGCAGAAAATGCTGCTCTGGGATCAGTGCTGGCAGCCGCAGCGCAGATCGTTTTCCGGGGAGCGTTAGCCATGCCAGGGGATCAAAACGGTGACATTTCTAGGGTCTGTTTGTGGCTCTGGGGAGCAGCTTTGTGCTGCTCACAGTACATATGGCTCTCTGCAGTCCTAACCCTCATAGTGCCAAGATTTTTTACACTGAATTTATGTGGCATCTTACGGGTTGGCAAAAAAAGTGAGCCAGTGGCAAAGATGAACATCTAGCTAGCCAGTAGAATATAAAATAACATAGTATATATGTAAATATAAAACTACTGAGGAACAAATAATACACCCAGGCTAGCTCTCTAAAAATAAATAATAATTTCAGACATTTTAAAGCCTTAATTTTAGACACATGAATTTAGGACTTTTTCTGTTATTTATTTGTAGAAATGTTTGGGAATGATGAGATCTTTACGCTTCACAAACGCACACCAACTTTACCTTACCCAGATCTAATCGCTTAAAATCCCATTTGATCTAGGGCTGGAACCAACAATTATATTAGTTATTGATTAACTAATCTGATAATTAACCAATTAATCATATGGAAAAATTGTCACATTTAGCTAATTTTCATTTAGGCCTTTTTTTTTATATAATATTGACATTTATTTAAAGATGCAAATAAACCAATAAATCAATTCCTTTTTTGAACATTATATTGCTTATAATGGAATAACAAAGTGAACAAATAAACACTTGATCACTTGTAGCACAGGATGCATCTGCAGCTAAAAAATACTTTAACCTCAACATGTCAGATAGCAAAAGGTGCTTAACAGGAGATTTATTTCACAGTAATTTTGACTGGGTGAAGCTTTAAAGGATGACATTTAAAGAGATTTTGGTAGGCCATATTTACAGACAGGCTTTTTTTTTATCTTAAATGAAAAATGTATATATATTTTCTGTATAACTTCAGTTCAATTACTGCTCTGGATATATTGTTCCTTCAGCAAATGGCTTTTTGTTGAGTCTGTATACTCCAGTTAGCGATTAATCAATTACTAATTTAATTTACAATGATTTTAAGAACTGATTAATCACTATTAACCCGATTAATCGTTTCAGCTCTAATTGAAACATATTAAGATATGAGGCTTTTTCTTGCTCAAGAGGTATGAATACTTTTGAGTGACGCCCCATGTTGGGTTTCTCACCACAGGAGGCAAAGCTGAGCGTCTGCTGAGGCTTCTGGTCGCCGCCCGGCTGCAGGCCGAGGGCCACCATCATCACGGAGCCCTGCGTGGTCCCCACCAGCAGACAGGGACTGGCCAGGCTGTCCGACTTCCTGGGGAAACTCTCGCAGAAGTAAAAGGAGGAGATGGCCTCTCGAGACTCTCTGTCTATGCTGGTTACGCTTGAGCTACGCGAGCGGGTGAATGCGTTATCCTTCCCATCTAGACGGCAGGTTTGCAGATGAACAAAAAAAGAAAAACCAAACGGAGACAAAATCAGGAAGTGATTCAAGTTAGACAGCAAGAGAAAGCTGGTTCACATGTTACCAAGCAAGAAGGAAACCAGGTTAGATGTTCGGTAAAAACACACCTCCCGACTCATTTATAAATTACCAGGCAGAAAACACACAGCAAACCCTTTGTTAAGGACAGACCAGAGGGCTTTTGGACATTGAGATGCGTTTCTTTTGTCCCAATTTGCTTATGCTGGTTTAAAATCCGACAATCTCAATGTGAAAAGCTTCAACCGAAGCACATGTTTGATCATCTTCTTAAAAAAAAAAAAAAGTTACTGAGGGGGATGTCCACAGAAAAACCAAGCGAGGGGGAAAGGTAATACCCTTCACCCGAGTTCTTCTCGAGGGAGAGACTGGAAACAGGAAAAGCAAGATTCTGGAAAAGCCACGTGCGCTCAAGCGACATGAACTTTCTCGAAAAGAAACAGGACACGATCACCGTGAGAGGATTAGTGTCACGTGTTATCCATTTTCACAATGAAAAGCCCTCGTTTGTGGGGATTAGTACAAGTTATCCCACTCCAGCCGAAGTCCGGCAGCGACCGGTCCACTCACATCGTTGCGGGTCTGACTTAGTTCTATGCACATTCAACTTCAGGGTCATCCTGGCCACCAGCTTGCCATTTTTCATACTATCAAAGGGCCGTTTACACAACCGAGGGGACCAGCGGTGGGAGCGATCCTCTGCGTCCGGGGCAGACACACACAGGGTTCATCTCAAGTTACGGTGCAAAACACAGCAGCACTTTTAAAGTCACACAAACACTCTGCAATACTCTCAGACATATACATATTTTTACATCTTTAAAGTTAATATAAAACAAAAGAATTATAATTCCTGTTAAAATAAGGGGGGGAAAAGAAGTTAAAACAGCAAAATTGTTCAGTTCATTTGTTGGCTTACCCAGATCTAGCTTTTGCTCACCAGACGAGCTAATTTTCCGCGACATCTTGGCTGTAAAAAAGGAGAAACAAATACCCCTATTTTTTAAAAGGAGAGACTTTTGTGCACCTGCTCAGATAAATCACAGCGATCAGGAATTAGAGGCACTTGTCCAACAGTTACAGCATCAAACATTCAGGAAAACAATCATTTGGTACAAACTGTAGGACAACTGTTGAGACTCGGTTCTCCAAGAGGCGCTTGTGGACCCGTCAGCTTTCTCACATTGCACAGCCGCAAAATTTAAAATTTTCAAACTGGGATTGTATGAAACCAACATAAAATGGTGCGTAATTGATGGAAGAAAAAGGAGCTAAAAATCTGAAAAGTGCGGCAACAATAGGTCAGCTTTTTTCAGATTTGCGATGTGAACAAATAACTAAGTACTATCTTGTTGACAGAGGGATCTCTGCAGCTCCTCCAGAGTCACCGTGCTGAGGCGGGTTTTCATGAGAGGAACTGAACCGAGAAACGTTCACAGGTTGCAACTAACTAAATTTGTTGGTAGATGAATCGTCCAAGAAGTTATTGCAATAAACGATAATATTATTGCTTTGAGATCATATGATAGTCATGGCTTAATAATGCAAGAACGCATTGTGTAAGATTTATAAACTTTAAGGTCTAATGAAGATTTAACAGGAACTGGAAGACATTTTAAATAACCAAATTAAATAAAAAATTAAGGTAACATTATTTCAAGAGGTGTGCATAAGATTGACATGACACTGTAATAAACATGCCATAACACCTGTTATGAACATGAAGGAGTCTCTATGAATGTTTACAACTGTTGTCATGAAGTAAATATGCTTTTAATGCAAAGTTGACATTTTTAATTTACTTTTCATGCAAGTTTTAGAGGAATTTTGCATTAAAAGTGTAATTTACTGAATAATGCAAAGTTTACACTCTTAATAGACTTTTAATGCAGCTTTTAGAACACCTTCGCATTAAAAGTGTCCTTATTTACCGAATGACACTTCATGACAACAGTCATAAACATTCATAAAGACTCCTTCATGTTCATAACAGACATTATGTCATGTTTATGACAGTCTTATGTCAGTATTATACACACCTCTTCAAAGAAAGCGTTACCAAAATTTATTTATAAAGTCTCTTTAACAAAATTGTTCTTCAAAAAAAGGGACGATGTAGGGCCGAGTTTATGGTAGAAAGAGATGGATAAAAGAGAAAAACAACAAATCATGCAAATGGAAATTATTGCGTTTGCTTTAATTTATTGTGCGATTAATTGATGTATCACTTATTGTGACAGGCCTAGGTGCGATCTCGTTTTACAATCTTCTTCTTCGCATGTGGACTCAATTTGCTACCAGGTGACGTCTGAAGGCGCACGGCTGCAAAAAGACGCCACAATGTTTAGATTTCTTTTGAAAATAACATTTGTAAAACCATTTTGTTAACTTCCTAAATCACAATTATGCACCGCAGCAGGTTGGTTTTTCATGAAGCCCAAATACGTTTTTATCCTAAAACTTATCCTAAAAGTGCGTACAGCTTATGCCAAATTGTCTTGATTGTAACAAGACTCTGAATATCAACCAAAAATGTTTTTATATTAAAAAAAAAAGTAACTGATTTTTTTTTTCTGCTACCAGGAGTGTTGCCATTCCCAAACATGAATCCCCCAAAAGTTGCCTTAGTCCACAACCACCCTCAGAACCGCCGTCAGAATGCAGACGAAGCAGAAAAGCATCGCAAAGGAGCCGGCACTGTCAAATGAAGCAAGAAGCAGTTGAGAAATAAGACAATTATAATTCACTGAACATTGTTATGCACAGAGAGTAGGTGAAAAGGGAAAAAAAAAAAGAAAAAAAAGAAATGAGCGGATAGCCAAAAGATCACACTGAATCGAAACCCTGGAAAGGGAAAGAAATACAGCGAGCGTCGACGATCGAAGAGAACTCAAAATCCAAGTGGTTAGTGACACAAATATCGAGGCAGATTTTCTACGGCTTTCTTTCGGGGACGGGAAGTAAAAAGCGTCAGATATCACATCCCCAAGCAATAATCTGTAGAGCGTGAAGAGAATTTGAATAGGAAATCTGAAAGAAAGGCTGAAATCTGAAAGGCACCCTGTCATGCAATCAATAGAAGCAACAGGATTATTTTTTTGTGATCAGCAAAAAACAAACAAAAAAAAGAAAAATCCACGTCTCCACTGAAAATCTGTCTTTCATTGCCACGTTAGGCACAGACCGGCAGAGGGTCAAGGCAAAGTTTGGTTAGAGCGCCGTCATTCATGGAGAGAGAAACGGTGAGTGAAGGAAGAATGCACGTGAAAGATACAGTACCAAAGTCATTGGCAACCGTCTTGGAAAAGCGTCTGCTTTTTAACTTCACTGGAAATGAGGTTTTGGGGGTAGGGGGTTTGGGAAAAAGGACAAATCAGACGTCTTCAGCTATTTATGATTTGCTGGAGTGAAGAGGGCGCATGCACTGAAAGATACGGTACCCTTCTCTATGAAGTTCTGTTTTCGTTCATCGTCTGAATTGCAGGGTGAGGTAGATCCTGGGTGATAGATGGGAGCATTTGGGGAAAAATGCTTCTTTAAAAAAAAAAAAAAAACTTTTCGTTTTTTTTTTTTTTTTTTTTTTTTAGCTAAGTGGCTTACCTGACGTGGGTGATTTGCATCGGTCCTCTGAGTTGTTAGACCCGTCGTTGGAGTCGCAAAATCCTGCAGAAATAATGATTGGGAAAAAAAAATATTAGCCCAATTTACTCCTTAGAAATGCCCAAACAATCCTACGTCTGATAGGAGGGGTCAACTATTAGAAAAGTTGCAGGGATGGCAACTAGTACATTACACCAAATATGGACCAAATGCTAATAATTTAACCAGGTCGGTATTGTTTCTCTACTAACACTGAAAGCCAGGTTTAAAGATACACAGCCTGATTTTGGTTAAATGACCTTTAAGCCTAAGAAAACTCCTCCCCCCTCATTTCACTGCTGAGAACTCAAATCATGAGTTTTGGAGATCTGAAGCGGCAGCTCTGAATCAAAACCAGGGAGTGTATCTTAACAAGGGAGAGGGAAAGCTTCCAAGAGCAAAACAATCGTGTGGGAAGGGGATAAAAAATAAAAAAATAAAAAAAAATCTGACACAATGGGACTTACGGAAGTGAGAGGAGCGCAGTTTTTTCACAGACTGAGAATACAAGTTAGAAAGTCTGGACATGTGAGACGAAGCAGTTGGAATGTCTTTCTCAAAAATCACACAAAGAGACCAACAAAAACATTGAAAACCATTGAGACAGAACAAAAAAAATGAGTGAAAATTATAAGTGTAAATTAAAAAAAAATAGCACAGATTCTTTGTGGCCTGCTGCTGAATTCATCTCTGAATAGAATAAAAAGGATGCACTGGTATCAGATTGAACTACTACAATAGTAAGTAGCTTTTTACTGTTATAACTGTAACTAGCTAAATATTTGAGATGCGATAGCTCTACACACACACACACACACACACAGAAAACAAATATCACTGTCACATTGTTTAAAGAAACAATATTGCACACACAGGATCGGTGTCAGAAAGGTTTTCATCCACATGAACCCACACAACTACTGAGCGTCGTTTTAAACATGCCAAACCTATAGGGGGCAGTGTAGCGCAAAGCTAAAACCTATGTAAGCCAATCAGATTGCTTCAAAACAGTCACGACTTCCAGTTAGGAGTTAAACATGGAGCCAGGAGGTTCTTATTTGGAGAAAGGTATATTGGCTGAACTCCTTTTAAATAGTGTGTTAGAACATGAAGTTAATAACTGTGAATCACATCAAAGCAAGCATGTGAATATGTTGGTGCATTATTTGTCGCAGGCTGTAAGTTCACTGGACCCTAAATCTCCGTTTTCCCCCCCAAATACAGTTTTTTCAAAATCTTCGCTTTGGTCAGAGTTTCTCCAAATAATCATTTGTAGTTATATAAAACAGAGTTTTGATGTGGATGAAAGGCCAAAACGCATAAAAATCTCTTTGTTTTCCCTGATATCTGGCTATAGGTGGACAAGGCCTAAGAAAAAAATCAGGTGGTGACTGAACTGGTGTTTTTTTTTTTTCAGCACACATGAACACTACAAGGTTGCAGTAACAAAAAGCCTCTTTGGTGTGAAAGTTTAAACAGAGCAAAAACAAAAAAATTTTTTTAATGCATTTTAAATTCAGCTATTTAAAATGAAACTGTATCTTGAGCCATGTGTGAGAGTTTGATTTTCACCAGATAACATGAAGGCTTAATGGAGAGCAGTCGCTCTGTTTGGCAACAGAAATCTGTATCTGCTCCTCCATGCTACCGCGTTTGGAATTAGGTTTGTTTTTTTATTCCAAGAAAAAAAAATACAATCTTGAATGTAGGCAGACATCAAGATTTTTAACAGGGACGTAAGAAAAGCTGACGTAACATTTTTATCACATAAAGGAATCAAAAGGTAATTTTGGTTATGATGCAGCGTTACTGACATGCACCCGCTCTGCTGTCTTTGGACTGTCCTACTCAACAGATGGAGAACCTGTAAGTGATGCCCCCTGTTGAGTGAGAGAAGCTACTGCAGGGGGCCGTGCTCACGGTGTGAAGTCAGGGCAGCTGCCAACCATCAGCTCCGTCCGTTCAACTCCACCTCAAGCCGCCTGATCAAGTCTGGCTTTACAGAGAGACATCAGGGCCGCTGATCTGGGAGCGGCTGTGCTGCGGTACTTAGCGATGCGCACAGAGCGGGAGAGAAACGAGACAGAGGTGTTAACCGGTGGGAGCGCTGCCTCACCTCCAGAAGGCTGGCGTGGTTTCCGCGGGGAGCGGGGCTGCCTCTGGCAGGGGTCCGACGGGCTGTACAGCTCCGAGGTGCCCAGGTTGAGCAGCAGGGTCTTCTGGACGTAGTCCACCACCGCCAGGCCGTTGCTGTTCCCAAACACCACGCTGAGAGGCGGAGAGAAGCAGAGGACCGGGGGGTCAGGCAAGCCTCCAACCTCTCCCATTTTGTCATCTCATCGACTTCAGTGGATTTTAAGGCGTAAGTTTATTTATAACACATCTCAGCAGCAAGGCAGTTCTGTGTTTTACGTCTGAAAATCGTCACCAATTATGAAACAAGCAATAAACATTTTGTCAAATCCCATAATCAAAATAATTGGGCAAAAACGCTTCAAACACGTGGTTTAATGTTCCACTTACTGCTAAACAAACACTAAACCGCGACGTTTTCTTAGTTTCAGATGAATTGATGCGATCCTACATTTCATAAGACAGAAACTTTTCAAACTACTTTAAATAATTAACTGAACTCACTGTACTGTTTGGTAACTGGGACACCATCGTTTTTTGTAAAGTACCTCAAGATGTACTTAGGTGTGCATGGCAGTTTAATTTCAACACAGATGAAGACGACTTCAGTGGTTTTGGTGCGCAGGAGGAAAATGAAGATGACGATCAATGACTTCTTTTTTTAAGCAGCCATGTTAAAAGGAACTGTTTGGAAAAAGCATTTACAGTATGCATTTGTATATTACTGGTACCTATTTCATTAAAAGTGAAAAAATATATACATTTACATCTTTCTGTGAATAGGTATGTTACAACATGGACACCTGCGGCTTACAGATAAGCGTGACCTACATATGTGTAACTTTTTTTGTTAAGTTAGTGGGTGTGGCTTATTTTACACTGGTTCCCTGTAGCTCAGAGAATAAGACAGTAATACTGTAGTTAGTTTATAAATTGCTGAACGGCTTAGAGCTACAATACACTAAAGATCTGCTGCTGTATCAACCTTCCAGACCTCTCAGGTCTTCTGGTTCTGTTCCGTATTTTATTCAGAATACATCCCATATTTGAGCAGGAAGTACACAGGAACTGTGTGGAGACGTGATGTGTGAACACTCACAGGCCGAGGGAGGAGTTGACTGCCAGGCTGGTGATCTGCTGAGGCGGCTCCCCGCTCACCCACACCAGCTGGACCACCAGCTCCACCTGGTAGCCCGGAGACTGCTTCAGCGGGGAGCTCCGCACCCTGCATCAAACACACAGCGGGATGAGACAGCAGACTGCACTTTACACCACCATGAATTATCCTTCCTCCTCTTCTCCCCCGCAGGGTTAGGCCACACTCACGACTAAATCTCCTCATTCCCCCTTTCGGTCTTTTGCTGCCGAGGCATTTTTACTATTTCTAACATTTCTTTACAGACGGGATCATTTCACCGCTGACCTCCAGAGGGAGTCATCTGATGACTGCATCGCCTTTTATGAGTTTGTTGGCGCCTTTTTTTTTTTTTTAAAGCAGCAAAGACATTAACCATGTAGCAAAAAAAAAAAAAAAACGTGCGTACTGAAGGCATGGTATGTTGTCTCTGGCTCCTTCGGAGGAGTTGACGCCTGCAGTGAGCTGGTTCGGGGGCTCGGCCTCCTGAGGGCTGGAGGGAGCTGCGGGGGTCGGCAGGGTGGGGGTCTGCTCTCCCCCCGGATCCGGGGAGTCGACCTCGCTGAACTCGCACTGCAACCGAACCTCCAGCAGCTGAACGCGAGACGGAAGAGGAGAGCTTGTGTCAAAAACATCCTCTCTTATTTGCAGGATTACAGAAGATGATTTTCATAAACCGCAAGAAAATTAAAACAAACACACAAATTAAAAGTAACGTCAGGTATCAGGGATGTAAGTCATCGATCGACTGACAGCCATTTTCTTGAAAACCCAAATTTCCTCTTGCATGAATAAGGCCGACTGTCTTTCTACGACATACAGGCTAAAATTTTCATGCTGCATATAAAAGAAAAAATCTTTAGATTTTAACAGTATTTTGTGTCGACTCTGTTACGTAGAGACTGAATAAACAGAAAATGTCTATTAAACTTAGACATATTAACAATCCATAATAAATCAGGAACCTCTAAGATTGCCAATGAGAAAAATAAAATATAAAAAGAATGAAATATGACAAACACGAACAGAGAGATGTTCATACAGAAGTACCGTCTGTGGTTTCTCTTGAAGGAATGTTAAAACTTTGCTTCATGTAGTTCAAAAATCAACCGTTCTTATTGGCATCATGTTTTTCTATCATGTTGCAATTTTTTTCTGTTACGCTCTCCACCTTCCCATCACATCCTTGCCTTCGTAGAAGATAAACAATTGTTCATATTTCGAAATAGAACCACATAAAGTCCATTTTTTATCCCACACCAGACTGTTTCTCTTTCTGGTATGGCCCCGCCATCTTTGTTTCTGTATCAACTGGCTCCGCTTAAGGATGACCAGCAGCTCCCTCTGCTGGATGGCAGCCAAACTGGCAGACATCATCAGTTAATCAATGGGAACTAATTTTAATTTTTTAAAAAACAATTAAAATCGACAGTTAATCATAGGTTTAGTAATTATTTGCATCCCAAGTATCTATAAAATCTGAGCATCCTCAGTACAGGAGCCACTGCAAGCCAGAAATGGAAAGTAGTGATAAAAGGATTGGTTCTCATGCATCTACCTGAACAACTTCAGTGGTGACTTCCTGTTTGCTGAACCTGTAGATGATGACGTGAGCAGAAACTCCGGCCACGCACAGCATCCTGCTCTCCGGACACCAGAACAAGGTCTGGATGGCAAACGGGTCTTCGTCCACGATGTCGGTGCTCGGCTTCTCCTCCTTACCCCGGGCCCTCTCGAACACCTTGGCAGTCTTCAGCTTATACAGCACTTGAAGCATTACTTTGAAAACAGAGAGAGAGGAATACAGCTAACTACCAGCAGTTTCAGAAAAAGAAACATGAAGTTAATGACGCACTTTAGAAGAACCAGAACAAAGCCTCAATCTGACCATTTCTGGTGACGTTTTGTTACTCAGTACATTTAAAAACAAAAAAACTGGCTTTTCCATGAAATCTAACATGTTTGTTCTACTCAGACTCTGGAATATTTAAGTCTGAAGTTGGGAACAAACTTTCCCACAAAATCTCCGGTTTCAAACCCTGATTCAAATGGATTCTCAGAGATCTTGTTTCCTCTTGTTATGTTGCAGTTCAATTTTGAAGGTGTGTCACTTACAAAAGAATGCGCGTGTGTGTGTGTGGGGGGGGTGACAAACCTCCAAGACACTATTTTTCACCGCAATGATTGACAGTGAGTGAAGCCACAGCACTTAGGTTGGACTCCCCCCCCCTACTTGTCTATCCACCGCAGTCTACTTTTTCCCTTTCAGCTTTTGCAAAGTCAAAACACGCTTCGTGTGCCAGACTTAAAGCTGGGTCTTTATAACTCGTTGGAACGGTGGGAAAGTTTTTACCGGTGATTTCTTAAAAGAGCGTGTGAATATTTTCACATCTTGCATTTTTGGTTAAAAATAAAACTAAAATAAAGCAAAAACAGCATTAAATGACAACCTTTGATTTGACTAGCCATTTGTTTCAGCTATATTTGTGAATTGAAATCTAGTAACAGGTGTTCAGTTTTTTGTTTGTTTTTTTGACTATGTGTGTATGACAAATCAGAAAAAAAACACTTACACGCAGAAGCATCCCAAAATTTGATTGACCCATCAGCATGCCTGTTTTTGAAGAGAACCAGGGAAAAAATGGTCACGCTATGTAAGTTGCAACTCCAGAAATGAAAGGCAAACACTGACAGATTGTTTAATTTGGTCAATAATTACAGACCCTGTGATGATAATCTCTGGGTAAGTCTGTGTGCCTTGGCCCCAGTTTCCACCACTAATGGGCCATTCCTGTAAAAAGGAGAAAACTGATTAAATTATGATCGTTACCCGTCTGACTCAGGCCAAATTATTTACTGTATCTGCCACAAGATTTCCCTCTCTTGCCGCCTTCCCGTTAGACACCGTGTCTCCGAACCCAAACGCTACAACGGGAGAGACAATTTCAGGTCCGTTTAACAAAGAGGAGTGAATCACCTTCTTGCTGTAGCCTTGTCGTTTTTGCCGGCTGCCGACAGAGTAAAGTGCAGGGATGAGTTCAGAGGGGCAGTCGGCAAAATACTCGCAACACGTCACCGGCGACTCGTGGATGGAGAGAGGGTAAGGGCTCTCGAATATCGGATACCTGTCACGATAAACAAAAGCTGTTGACGTGTGAAAATAACTTAAGGAAAATATTACATGTTTCAAGGTAGTTTAAGAGTTTGCGTGATCTAATGCTGCTTGGGTTTGTTGATAATTAAACTTTGTCAAAGATGCCAATAATGACTTCTATATTTGATCCCTGCTCTTTTTTTTTTTTTTTAAACACAACTGTAACTTATAAGTATCTTTAAATGAGAAAGTTAGAGATGCACCAATCAAAGTTTTCTGACAGATGTTGAAATTTGCTTGATCTTATTTTAAATGTTAAATCTTCTATTTCTGATTTCTCTTAAAACCTTGACAATTTGTGTCGCTGTGTGAGAGCAGTTGCTGTAGAACAGCAGATTAGGAATATTTAAAAAAAAAATGACTGAGCACCTACTAAACTGGCTTTAGCGTCTTAGCAATTAGCAGGGTTAGCATTACTAAGGCAGCAATTTTTTGTGTGTATTACAGAGAGAATTATTCAATTGCTTAACTGCATATAAAATGTACAAAGAGCTGCCAACATTACCAAATCTGCAATTTTCAATGACAGGCAAAGGTTAAAAGTTAAAAATGTCAGAACAAATTTGCTCTTAGCTACTCAAAACCTTGCTCTCTCTCACTCTTTCGCAGCCTTAACGTGTCATAGTAAAGAAATGTAACTTTGAATACATACTTCTGACATAATTAATACCTTACTGATTTTAAAAATATCTATACTAATTTCAAGTTTTCTTCAACCAGTGACGGCTTCCACACAGAAGGTTATTGTTGCTATGGCAGCCAAACCTTAACAAAAAACAAGCCTTGTTGGAAAAAGACTATATTTTTTATTTTAAAACCGATCACTGGTCAAGGATTAGCGATTCCCATTGTCCCCTGTGCAGCTCCAGACATTACAGGTGTGATTCCACAGCAGAAACATTTTCGTCATTTTTACACCCTTGCATTATTACATGACTGGGTTTCCGTTGATTTTACCAACTAAAAACAGATTACCAGGGTAGAAATTTATCGCAGAACAATGTCTCTGTAGTGATGTAGTTATTTTCCTTATGGCAAAAACGTTTGGACATCTTGTTGAGGCAAAAACTATTTGTTGAACTTATTCAACAGTACACATAAGTCATTAGTTACAGTCAAAAGCTCATAATGATACTTGAAACTTGCCTTTTGTGTTCTTATATCAAACCATGCAGAGAGAAATCAAACACATTCCTAGAATACAACTCTTTTTTTTTTTTTTTTTACATTTAAAGGCGGTAAATAATTACCCAATTTGTCCAAGATCTATTACAACTAAATCCTTCTCGAGGAGGACCACCACAGCGTAAGGCTCCTGAAAGTCTGGCAAGAATGAAATGAGAGCAAAATATGAACATAAATGATTGAAGTTGTGTGACTTTTAATGGAAATGAAGCAAGTCTGCTGCAGACAGCTTTCACAACTCACCATTTGGATATGGAGTTTCGCAGAGCGTTAGGAAATCTACAATGGGATAGTCCATCTCCAGGACGGTAGTGCTCTTCCCGTGCATCACGGTCAAACAGGCTCTCCTCCCCACTGTGTCGTACGACAGCCCTCCGGACAGAACCATGAACGGGTCACTGGTAACAGCAAAAACACACAAAGAACGTTACGGCTCGCTCAGTTACAGTAGCACTGTTGTAAATATTAAAAGGACCAGGTCGTGTCAGTGGTAAATGGGTGAGGAGGGACAAAATTTACTGTTACACCTTCTCCTGAGAGTATCTGGCCCCCTTTTTCAGGAGAATCCTACTTTTTAATCATAACAACTAATTAATCCCTGTCCTCAAATACCTGAGGAAAAAAGTGAGATAACTAGATCACTTTCAGTGAGGATGTTCGTTTTCTTTTTTTTTATTATTTTTTTTACTTTTTGACCTTGACATAGCAAAGCGTCCATTTCCTCTTTATAGCGTTTTTGCATGCTTGACCAACTTAAGCTCAAGACTTTTAAAGACCTTTTTTAAGGCCATTATGAGTGAAATTTAAGACCTGCAACATGATAAAAAACACAAAAGAAAATCACAAATAAATAAATTGAATGGATTGGGAACAGAAGTGAGCCAGTGGCTAAGATGAACATCATCCAGCCAACTGGAGACAAGTTCGCACACACCCATGATGGATGTACACAAACAAAATAAGCTAACTAGCTAGCAAGCAAGGGTATATTAGCAGCTAGTTACCGGTAGCCACAACAACACTGAGTCACAAAACATAGTGAGGATGTCTGTGCAGAACTCAAAGTTTAGCAGTTCCCTTGAGAAAAAAGAAAACTACATAGAATATACAAGATTAAAACGTTAAATGATTAAATTTAAGACCTGTCATTAATGTATTTAAGACCAACTTATTTTTTTAATGAATTTAAGACATGTAAAGGCCTTAATTTCAGATATGTGAATTAGACATTTTAAGGCGTTAATGTCAGATACACGTTTTTAAAGATATTTTAAGGCCTTAATTTCAGATACATGATTTTAAGACATTTCAAGGCCTTATTTTCAGGTGGATGAATTTAAGACTTTTTCAGAATTCTTGGACTTTCTGCTTTACTAAACCACTTCTCCAATAAAAGAGATCACAACATGACTACCATGAAGCATGTGACAACCAATCATAAGGAAACATCATTCATTACATAATCAAAACAACCTCTGAGAGCACCAACGCTGACGATAGGCACCTTTCCAGCTTTCCATCTACAATAAGGACGCCGTCATCCAAACTGATGTGTTTGGTTTATGCAGAACAACAGGAAAGGCGCCTCTGAACACAGGATATGGATCCAGGCGCGAGCAGACACAGGAAGGGTGGGAGCTTTCTGCCATCACACTTACCCAGCTCTTGTAGTTTTGTACTCCACTTTTAGGATAGGCTTGCACGGCTCTGGCTTTTTTCCATCCTTAGGCTGTTTTCCTGTTAGAAGCCAGGAGGAGCAGTTTCAGAACTTTAAAGAATCGACGCCCTCAACACTCAACATGCCTCGCTGCACGTAAAAACATGTCTGTGTGTGTGTGTGCTTGCGTGCGTGTGTGTGTGCGCGACAGCTCCTACCATGTGGCGTGATGATCTGGGCAGGCTTGGCCGGGGCGCGTATATTCCACGTGGTCAGACTGCCATCGGAGTGGCTGCAGACAAACTGTTTCCCCTCGTGGTGCCAAGCAACCGAGTGGATCGCCTGAGAGACACAGAGGCGCAACGTTAAGATGTGTAACATTGTGCTCCACCAAATGGAAAGTCAGAATTAGGTTCTCTATAGGCGTTTGTTGCATTTTTATAAGTAGTGGTTGGCATCTTCTTGCATGCAGTTCATTGCAAAAGTAAGCAGACTCCCAGATTTCCTACATTTCATAAGACTACATCCACAAAAAGTGGCTTTAGAGGAACACAAAAAGTTCATGATTTTTTTTAATCATATTAATAAAATCAGAAAACTGATGTTCAAAACTATTTGTCTCAGTGATAAAATCTAGAAAATAATGTCTTCATGATGATTTTCACTAATGCTCTCTAACATCTGGATTTAGACTGAAATTAAATTACTTAAGAGGTAAACTCTTACTTAATCAGGAAATTGGTTGAACTAGATTTCACTTAGGGGCGTCACAGTAAAGGGGGCTAAAAATAAATTCACGGCACATTGGTAAAAACATGAACACTTGTACCAAAAACCTGACAGTCTAGTATGTTTTCCCTTTCCCGCCACAATTACAGACGTCTTTGTGCTGGTTTATTACACAAAATGTATTAAAATACATCGAGGTTTGTCGAAGTTATGAGACAAAATATTGACAAACTTCAAGGAGTGTTGATGTAAAAGCCTGTTGGTCCTTACAAAGGGAGGTAATCAGTTCCTGAGCCGTTTGCTCAATGATTTCCAATCTTGTTTTATTTTCCCTTCGTCATTCCACTGACATGCAGCTCTGTCAGGTTTTATGTCTCAAACTATTTGGGAGCTGTCATTCAGACGGAAACGAAACAAGTCCAAACACGCCGGACCGAACCGGTTCGCTCACAAGAACTGAGCGAAAGTGAAAGGAGACGCCTCACCTCGTCATAATTGTAGCGGTAGTCAGCTTTCTTGGACTTCAAATCCCACAACACCACGACCCCACACTCAAATCCAATCAGAAGCTGCAATGAGAAGAGAAAAAGCAAAATTAAACCGGATTTCATCCCCGACGTTCCACAAATGTTAGAGTTTAGGACATACTTTATGACATGAAAAGTAATAAAATATGGTATTATTTGATTGGGAAAAACAAACGGTTTTAGGAAAAATGTCAAAAAAAAAAAAAAAAACATTTAAAATGTTTCAATGAAAATGTTATGATTTACAACTGATTGTTAGGAGCGCTACAGCATTTATAGCATGCTAAAAAAAAAACAGTCAATGTCAGATTATTTACAAAACATACTTAAGACCTAAGTGCTGTAAAACACAGTAAAACAAGTCAAAAACATGTATCCCGAAAAAAAAAACAAAAAAACAATAAGATGCCTTCTTATGTCCAGAAAGGTGGTTTTATGCAATTCGATTACAAAGAAATGAATGAAAATGATGGAAAAACTACACATAATCATACACATATAGAATACACACATAGATATTGGGATAAAATAGATTTGGACACAACTTTTTAAATTGTTGGGTGTTTTAATTCATAAGTTACCTTCCCCTCGTCCATGGGGTTATCACTAATGTGCACAACAGGCCCTGGGTGTGTCTTGGTGGATCTGCAACAGAACAGCAACACGCATTTTAACGCAATCTAAGGACATTTTGAAGCATGGTCAGACATGATGTGCATCTTACATTTTAGAGCTAGACACTGACAGAGAAACTGTGGCAGCTTTCATAAGCCTAGTTCAGATAATGAGGCAATTAGGTGAAGGAAAAAAATAAAAAATAGCAAGCAACACTGACTGGCTCGCACAAAGGTGAAACAAAATATCCTGGTAAGAAAAAAGAAAAAAAGAAAAAACAGCACCAGTGAACTACAGAAAGAGAGATGACACATGAGAGAGAAACAGAGCGAGTACGGGGGTCTGTGGCAGATTATGCTGCGTGGAGACAGGATCACCGAGGCAACGGAGTGAGGGGCACGGAGGAAAGCGAAGATCTGGCCTGAAGAACGTGTTGCTGCCTCTGAGTGTGGTCTGGCTCCGGTGGCTAATGATCTCATTGCTGCTGATGAGTCAATACAGACAGAGATGTCGCAGTGAGTAGAAACAAGAGAAAGACCAGAAGATGAACTCCAGCCGCCGCCGCCGCCTAATGAGGATTCGGCTTAAACAGGCAGCTGACACGATGAAAGCACGCAGACGGCACACACTACCTGGATGAAAGCGACTGCACGCCGTCGTAAATGAGTCCGAACCGCATTCGAAACACGACTGATTCTTAGCTTCTGACTTAAAAAAAAAGGTGACTTTTCAGACTTTGCATGAGAATCCGTTATTAACCAGAGGCTTTGGCGTTTATGAATAATAAGGTTCTTTAATGAAACGCTTGAAGGGCTGCGGCCTGTTTGTGGCTTGTTGTGCCTTCAGTTCTCTGTAAGTGAAAAGCAATCTCCGCTGTGGATTCATTAAGATAGCTGCTGATTGAAGGCTCCAGTGACGAGACGCCCACCTCTGGTTTTCAGGATTTGGACGGCTGCACAGAAAAGTTCTGTCTTTGCACAAGCAGCGATTCTGCCGTCACTTATTAGAGCTGCACAATATTGGGGGGGAAAAAAAGGAAAGAAAAGAAAAAACAGATATTGCAAATTTTTATTTACATTTCTACTGGGATAAACATTATGCTGGATGTTTTGCCAGTTTAGGAAATTGTTTTGAAGTAAATGTTCTGAATAAGACGAGTAGTGTTCATGTGCTAAAATTAGACCTAAAATTAATTAGTGCTTGATTTAATTGATAAACTACAGAGGCTAGATGGCATTTATCTGATGAGAAAATGCAATAAATATCAATCTTTTGACAAGTCAAGGCAAATAATGCATTTAAAAAATCCTTAAACTGTACATACAGGTGCAATAGCACAAGTTCACAATTTTTTTTTAATTAAATGAAAGTATTATGTATTTCCCTGCTGCATAGTACCATTTTTATAACTATTATTATAAAAATGCTAAATTTATCAAAGAAATTTGACTGATGCTCTGTGAGGAAACTACAAGCCCAAGGAGGAGCTTCGTTGTCGAAGGCGGAGCCAAGTCCACCCTGTCGTTTTACACAGCTGAATGGTTGCCACGGGAGACTGTAGGAGTTCTCAAACATGCTAATGTTCATTTGCAAAATATGCAATGAACATTTAAATATGGAAAAGGAAGTAAAAAAAAGAAGAAAAAAAAATCACTGAAGAAATTAAATCAATGATTTCCTAAGAACAACGTGCTCTAAGGTTTTTGTGTGCGTCTTTAACGGGTCGCTGATGCCTTGGACATGTCTTAACATGTCAAAGCACAATCTTAAAAAACAATGGACATAATTACTCACATAGCATAAGGAATATTTCAATTGATCCCGCTTACTTAAACTCACAGCTCCACTCTTTAAATATAAGTTAACAGCAGTAATCCAAGTCAAATGCAATGGTGCAAAGAGGCAAAATTGCAAATCCATGTCATAACTATCAACTTTCCCAAAACATGAAGAGACGTTCGAACTTTGTAATTATCTTACTAGCAGGGCTCCTTCACTTAATAAGTACCAGCACAAGAAAAGAGAGGCGAGCCACGGAGCTAAAAAGCCCAGAAAGAGACATTTCTGTCAGAGATCTGACGAGCCTTTTACAAAGAAATGACTGTGAATTATCTTTCACATTTCACACTACATCTTCTCTTTTCCATTTTCACAAGCGGCGAGGCAAAAATCATTTCCCATCTTCAGTGGCTGTTTCCTTCACGGATGGCACACTTTGCTCTGACACTTTCAACTCTGAGATCTAAAGCAGCAATTTATCGGATTTCACCTGCAGCCTCGCACTCAAACACACACCTCGGCGTCTGCTACTCATTTCGGCTGCCAGTCACAGTCTAAAAATCAATTTTTTTTTTAGCTCGCTTGTGGGCAAAAAGAGCTTCTGCCGGCCCAAGTTTTCATTTCTCAGGAGCTTTTCGGCACGCATTTTCACTGCCATTCAATGTTTACGGCGACGGAACGGTGCCGCGAGCAAAGTTTCCGATCGTGAATTTATCCCAAGACCGAGATCAAATTTGACCGAAACACTGCAGGGTTTCCTCCCCATGTGACCAATGGTGGCAAAATAAAAGTCGCCACACGAAACATTAAAATTTACTTTAGTTTGAGACAGCAACAAAGTCGGCTCCTGCATGTCTGTCTGCGATGCCGGCTACTGTGCGCTGCTCTCAGGAGTGAAGCAAAACTAGAGATGACGGTCCGAAGTAGAGGGAGAGAAAAGGCGGAAGAAAGTTTTTAAGTTGAAGGCTGTGAAATTGATCCTAACCTCAACAGTAGCATAGTTATTTAATATAGTCGTCGTGTCACAAAAGTCCTACAGGAAACCCTGTGTTGTCAAAAAAAACTTAATAAAAAAAAAACTAAAGATGGGATCATCACAGTGAGTGTTTGGGTCACAGAATTAGGTCACTGGGGTCACCAAGAGGGCACTTCCTGTCATGTTCTGTCAAATCAGGGAGCAAACACCTCCAGGAGTCTCCACCACAAGTCCTGGCATGGCATAATCACCACCCCTGTGCCACAGCTACACTTGATCAGAGCTACGGCTTTATCAGCTCTACGGGACACAATATCAGCGGCGGCACAGCCAGTCGCATTCCTCTGCATTTTGGAGTTTCCTGTGTTGAGTGTCGGCTGCACCGGTGCGACAGCGTGATATGCAAATAGAACAAAAGGGTGAGGAAGAGAGAAGAACGCTCTGGAGTGCAGACTCACAATTCGATGGCTTTGTTCCACATGATGACATAGCCTGAGAGGGTGAAGGACTCCACGTTGACGATGTGGATGTTTCCTCGCTCTGAGCCGATGTACAGCCATTTGCTCTGGAAGGGCAGGTGGCAGTATGTGATTCTGCAAGAGATCAGGATGCATCAGCAGCAGGCTTTTCATTATCCCATGACTCAGAGCCATCAAAAGGCCCCCGCTTGTCCCTAATCACGCTGGTCCAACTGGAAGGAGCGTTGAATGACTAGAATTTAATTACAAAGGCCTTGCACTGTGTCACACTAATGAACCCGTACTATTTATAACTCAGCAGGGAGGAATAGCAGAATAAATACTGCTGTCTTTTCTCGACCGGGGCGGAGGACGCACCGGGCCGTACATCACTTTTACAGTATAGGATGTACTCATTGTGCAGATGCCGTGTTTTTAAACAAACATCCCCCCTGCCGCCTCCGCTTGCGTCTCATGGGACTTTCAAAGACCATGGGAATTTTAAAAGATGCAGCAAAACAACGAGGAATTGTGTTTTAGGTGGATTGTTGCCAACCTGGGCAGCTGTGGTAGAAATACAGCAAGATGTTACTTTTTCATTATTAGAAACAACTTCCATGTAACATTTGGGGGAAAAAAAGCTTCAGGTTCACAATGAAAAGCCTAAAATTAAGCTAAACAAATAAATACAAATTACTAGAGATAAAAGACTCACCATACATCAGTCCCTCCAGGATGTTACGATGCCTTTTTGTGATTGTTGCGGCCTGACATTGCTTCTTTTTTTTTTTAAGTTATATTTTTGACATAACATGGTCTTACAAAAAAGCTGCACATAATCACCATATTTTCCTGACTATAAGTTGCTCTGGTGAACAAATCACCAGCCAAAGCAAATTATGAAAAGAAAAAAAAAAAGTCCAGAAAATACAGTAGTTGAAGTGAAAATAACATTTTCAAGGACCTTAATAAAAATAAAATTATGTCCTGAGGAGTCAAAAAAAAGTCCATACTGGTCATCTAAGTGAAAATTAACTGTACATCCAGTGTAACCAAATCCTACAAAACATCTCAAAATGATTTTTGCAAAAACATGAGCAAAAATTTTTTTTAAAATTTACATCCATCTTGCAGGTTCGTCTTTCAAGCGACGTCGTGAAACAGGAAGTTAAATTAGAAGAGGGCTAAGCCGATTGATCAAAATTCCGCAGCCTTGCTGTTATTGGCCAGAAAAGAATTAAACACAGAAACCATGGTGATTGGTCAGATCTTGCGAAAAAGGTGCAATGACTGGTGAAAATTGCAAAATTTTGAAATGACAACGTAATTCTCATTGGTAATTGGGATCGCAATGTCACAACTTTCTGGAAGGACTGATGTGAGACTCAACAAGCAGCATAAAAAATGTCAAACTCCCTGCATGTTGAAAGTTGAAATTTTCAAACAAGGAACTTGAAATAAGGCATAAAATTACTACCAACGCATCACAAAGCTTTATGAACAAAGCCGGCTGTGACTGCAGCATCTAAGTTTTGTTTACAGAGCGGAACGCGTTTCTGTACCTCTCCCGGCTAAACTTGAGAGAATGCAGGATAGCTGGAATTTTTTGCCTCAGGTTCCACAGATGGATGCTGTCATCAGCTAAGGCACTCACCAGCGCCCCCTGTGGAGACAGTGGCAAACAGACGCATGTTTAGCATTCAGCTCACATGGCTTGGCTTCCCTCACTGTTTTATGTTTACAAAATATAACAGGAGAAATGTGGGTTGGATCAGTAGCATAACTGCTTAATCTGGGTTTTAAAAGCACTACTAACAGGGGCTACTATAAAAAGAAAATGAAAAAGAGATAAAAAGAGAAAAGAGATGGATTGACTGAGAGAAGAAGTTAAAAAAAAGAGCATTGAGCACAATGCAGAGGCGATGACAACGCACCTCATTGATGAGGAACTGGAGCTGGATGACAGCAGCACCGCTCTCATGCTGACAGTAGCACTCCACACCCGCACGGCCGAACCTAAAAGTTGGCTCAGTTAAAGAAAAATGAGGAAGAGTTGCCAACAAAGGTGATGCAGGGATGTGAGTGGAACGGATCCTGAATACGCAAAAAGGCTCAGTTTAAAATGTGACTCTTCCTGAAAAGAGCCTGTGAAGAACAATAAACCAGGGAAACCACAATTGTACCAATAAAACCAGAGAGAGAGAGAGAAGCTAGATTTAGCTTCAGAGGGACCTGCTTTACACGTCCGTTTTAATTCCTCTTTCATTCTGTGTTTGGTAAAACTGGTCTGTGAAAGCTTTCACAACACAACGGGGAAATGGTGTTAGATCTAATCATACCGAGAAGCTCTGGACTGATACGGTTGTGAAAGCAAAGTATTTTGTTTGTCGGTGTGATCTGCAAGAAATAAATTTTTGGTCAGGATTCGTGCTCAAAAAGATCCAAGGAATCCAATAAATGACTCGTAAATAAAAATAGATTTTAAAAAATTAATTCATGAAAGCAAACATACACAGATGTATGTCTAGTTATTTACATTTGAATTCATTACATCTTAGAATATGTAATAATAAGTAAATGTTTCCTTTTCATTGTTTCTTTGCTACGTTATTGTTTTGGAGTGATACTTTATTGAACAAAGTGATTCAGAATTGGTTACAAAAATGCTTAACGTATCTTCATAAATTTTCTAAATTAATCAATAGTATACAAATACTCATTGAAGTACATGCGATAGATGTTTTACTTTTTCTGTCTGCGCTACTAATCAAAGTGAATGGATGAAGTTAGCGGTACTACAACCAACGACCGGCTGTCACTGGTTAATCTACCAGATGGCAAATAAAATATACGGGTCTGTGAAAATGTGAAAGATTTAGTTATTTCATGGTGGCCTCTTATGCAGAATATTTGAATTGAATAACAAAAAAAAAACATTTAAATGACGATCAACTACATCCTGTGATCCAAGAATAAGCAAATATAGACGATAGATGGACATTAGAAAGTGTGTGTATGCATCCGTTTCCACCAGAAAACAAATGAACACACAAAACATATCTAAAAGTTTGACGAGTTCAAAATCAAACATTAAAAATGCTGCATGGTTGCATTTCTGTAATTGACTTAAGAGCTGCATGTTAAATACAAGAAATGATGTTACAGAGTGAAGCACAAAGAGAGCTTTCTAGGAATCCTATGTGCTGATTACTTATAAGTTAATGACTTTTTCTTTTACAGCTCTACTGGAGCAACATGTGTTTACATAAACACTTAATCAGTTTTTTCCTGGATCGTGGCACCTTAAGCGGCGGCGGCTAAAACCGTGCGAGCCGATCTGACTGAGCTGCAATCAAACAAGCCCTCGGCTCCTTAAACAAACTAAGGTGGGGTGGCAGGAGACGGTTACAGAACAAGCTACTCAGCGTTAGGCATCCCTTCTGCACAAGCAGAGAGGCAAACACAGACTTTTAGACTTTTAAGCTGGCGCCAGTTCAGAGCTGCGGCCAGCGGCTCTCGTCCTGACCCTTAACCTCTCCGTTTGGTTTTAGCTCCCAGTTCGTCGTCAGGATTATTAATGGGAATCCTGCCGTACTCGGTCCGGTGCGGAGGCGGAGTTTTATATCCTCTGGGCAAATTTAAATAAGAGCAGAGGAGTACTGTAGTTTAAATAATGAGGATGTTTGTGGTAACGTGAGGGGTTGCTTCACAGGCCACAGGCCTGACATCGCAGGTTAGCGCCAGCTGTCCTTTTGCGCGCTGAAAGCATGTATTGTACTAGTTTAACCTGTTTCTGTTTTAATGTAGGTTAATAGTGCTGCAGAGCAAAGCCACTTTCTAGGCGAGCAGGAAATTACTAAGACAAACCTCAAAACTAGATTTTATCACGCTGGTGAGCAACGGCAGCACTCTTCTCAAACTTCCTCCAACGCTTTACTACTATCAGTTAGTAGTACAAACTACGAAGTGTGTTTTTTAATTTTTACTTTTTCAGAAACACAGGCGCATATAAGAAAACAACCACCGGTCTCGCTATTAACCTTGTAATTTCCCATTTGAACATAAAATCTTGGTGGGAGGAAAGCAAAACATTCTAAAAATTCCTCTCACTAAGCGGTTCATGGTGCACTGATGGATTAATAAGACACGTTTAAAAATGTTCTGCTTTTCTCAAATGGCAAAGACAAAGTAAACCCCCCAATACATTGAATAAGTAAAGTGTCCATCTTCCATCTGCTGCGAGACGTACATCAACTCCCAGTGATTTTAATTTTATTTTATTTTAGGACTCGGGAGGATTTAATCCCTAAATAGAAATCATAGTTTCAAAGTCAGTTTCTCAGTTTGTTGAGTTGCTGAGAATGCTGTGGAAGTAACACATCCACTCTAAAATCTGCTATCTTTGTTTGATTGTGTTGAAGGATGTTGAGCACCAAAGCTCTTGCGTGAGTTTCGCATCATTTCCATACTTAGCAAAGGACCGATCTGCAAGATTCTGTTTAATCATGTGGGGATCTGAAACGGTCTACAGTCTTACACCAATCATTTCTCTAAGCCATTGATTTGATGATACAACACACTATTCCAATATATCCATAAAGCAAAAATTATTACAATGCTGCAGCTAAAATAATATTACTACATATAATAATGTCACCAACAGGGCTGCACAATATCAAGAAGGCATGCGGTAATGTTGGTGCATACTGTGATATTAAGATAGGACTTGCAGGAAGCAAACAGATGCTTAGCTAAGCAGAGTACATGTCTTTTTTTTCTTTAGGTTCTTGTAAACAGAATCCAGATAAGAGAAAAAATAAAATGTATTCAGATTTTTCCGTTCAATATGATCTTTTTATTATTATTATTATTACTGTTGTTGAGTAAGTTGTTCTGTCTGCATCTGCCATTTTTGGCAATGAAATAACTTAGTTGCAGTTTTTTAATTACTTAACCAAAACATCTTAAGTAACATTTTGTGCAGCGTTAAGCAACAAGAGTCTCCAAATACTGAATATTCTGGAACAGACTTTGTGATGCTAATATTGCGGGGAATGATATTACACAAAACAAAAAAATGAAGTAAGAACGAACAGACGTACACAGTGGTAAAAGACTAGAGCAAAACATGAAAAAAACATCTGTTGTATTTGTGAGAAGCGTTATATAAAGATGCTTATTGCCATCTTCCATTTGACGAATTCCCTTTATGAATCAACACTGAAAGCTAACATTAGCTGGCTAGTTAGCAAAGGTCGGCTAGCCTCTACTCTGGTTAGATATTTAGCACAAATATTTTACTTTCTCAACAGCATTGCCTTGCTTTAGGTGTCTTGCTTTAGTTTATGGTTTTTGAAGAAGCTAGCCGTAATCTCTGGTGACCATGAATTGAGAGCGACCGAGACGTTAGCTCGCTAAAACCAAGACAAGACAGACGTCTGCGCTAAACTCCGCTTCTCTGCTATTTTACTGAAATAATTCAAAACTGTAGGAGTGGTATCCACTCTAAAACCAGCTTTAATGTGTCTGGTATCTGTATCAACCATCTAGCTGTTGATATGATAAAATGAATGATTTTATAGCAGTGCTACTTCTAGATTATGCCATTGAAATTTAGACGCAATTCAATCCATTTCCTGGGACTTCTACATTGTTCTAAGGTCTGGTGAAATCAGTATTTTTGTGCTGGTATAGAGAAACCACTAGCTTCAAATTAATAGGCGTTGGCCTTGTGAAGTACAACGGCATTCTGAAAATGTCATCACGTCTTCATAAATTATGTAAAAGTCAATGTATGTATATATCTGAAACTGTATGTGCATATAAGTCTTGTTAAAAACAAAAACAAAACCAGAGCTGCTGTATGTTGCATATTTAATTCCAGAAAAATAGTTCAAATAAATTATTAAACATCAAAACGTGGAAATTGTGCCCATTATGAGAAGAGGTCATCTTCTGGCAGCAGCTTTAGATCAAAATTTTACCAACATATAAATGAAAAATGACAATCTACAGCCCTACGTTGTACATATGACAATTCAATCATGGATGCAAACAGATATGAAAAAGCTGCAGTGTAGACAAGAATTGGAAACAATGAACTCCGTCAAACTGAAACAGAATCTACTGTCTCTCCTCACCGTCCCTGTGGAGTTTACACACTTCAGTCATCCCTCCTTAACATAAAAGACTTCCCCATTTGGTAAGCCAAAGTGGTAGACCACAGATTTCACCATCAGCTGCTTTTCTCAGGAAGTCAAATCATTTATCATCTGACTGGGAAGTTTTCTTTATTGTGCAAATCAACATGTGGAAGAGGAGAAACTGTTTTCCACAGTCACTTCAAACGCATGTAGAATCCAAATGAGAACAAAATAACAAAGAAGTCGGCTGACGCTGTGAGATATTTCTGCTTCGAAAGCTGACTTGAAAGTCTTGGGTTCTAGCGTGACCGGTCACCTGACCCAACACAAACTTGCAGAATACAGGCTTTTCTGCACTGCCTTCCGACCATGGGCCTGGGTGAGAATTTCACATTATGATAATCAACTGCAAAACTGGGAATCTTTAAGATAAACGGATTCCTTTTCCATTATTTTGATGACGCATAGAATTAAGCAGAACAATAGAATAGTTGCACTAAATGTGTATTTATTCTGCAGAACATTACCTTTCTGCTCTTTATAGGGTAGATGATATTAGCTAGGTAAATTAGTCATGCAACGGTCTTAGCGCAACACTCAAAAAGAGAGTGGCAAATGTCACGGTCAGACGAGGTTGTCCTGTCAGACTGTCAGATCCAGAAACCACACACACAAAAAAACTTGTCAGAGTCAGCGGACCCTGTTGGACTGCACAAACTTATGGGGCCCTGCCTGAAGTTTGGAAAACAACAACATAATTACTGACCTAGTACCTGAACTTTATCTGAGTTGGTAACTTAAGCATCTTTTAGGAGCAGCTTTCAGGGGCAGGTTTGTGGAGGAGTTCCCTTCTAAGGTGCCTTTTTGCTTCCCTTCGTCAAGCACAGAAGAGCACCGATCAGACTTCCCTCAGCCAAAACAGTCACCTGGTTCTCTTTGAGGTAATTTCAGATTTGGACCAATTACACCTTTTTCTTCCATTTAGGCATCAAACACATTCAAAAGGAAATAAATAAAAGATGCTGCAGGTAGTTGGCAGGAAGAATCCGATCTGCACATCTCTAAAAATATCTGTGGTTTTAAAACCACAACTGCTTTATGCCTTTAAACCGTACCTCGTTAATGACAATCAGTCTGTGCCTGCTGTCTACAAATGAAGTATGTATGGAAGAGCTCCAGATATCCAATGCCACCACCGACCACAAACGAGCTCTGTAAAGCGCAGGAAACCGTCTACAGTAACCCGCTGATTAAAACACTGTAGCGGAGACAGGTCTTGTAAAAGCAGACATTTATTGCTTGTAGATACCTCATCGGGCTCATGTCTTCTGAGCCGTGCGAGCGTTTCCAAACTCCAGCGCCGACGAGGCGGATCGATAAAGCGCGTCTTTTTGATAAATGGACCAATTGCCTGAGTGACAGTAATCCCATCAGCTTCACCTTGCACCAAGAGGAGCAACATAGTAGCTGCGCGCTAGTGTGTGTGTGTGTGTGTGTGTGTGTGCGCGTCTGCATGTTGCCACGCAGAAACAAAACACTCTCTTAATCTGATGAGTGGATAAAGACCAGGACGGAGTCAGGTCTAATGAAAATCTAAGCTAAGCAGAAGGGCCTCCCTGAGTAGGACATCATCACAAAGGGAAGCCCAAAGTTAGCGTGCAAACGCCTCCCAGAAGACGAGCAGTAGGTGTGGAAAGTCAGTGCAAATCAGTGATTGGTCAATTAAAAAAACAAAAAAAACAAAACAGAATTCCTCGACAACAACCCGAAATCACAAATGCGTGTGTTGGTGTGTCGTGCAAGTCCGGCTCTGTTTACAGCACATATGAAGTGGCATCCTGGCACCAACTGGGCAGCACAGCCGTTGAGGTTGGCTCCACAACATATGGTGGAGGAGGGGTGGGAGGAGGGGGTTTCATGCAACTGCAGAGCTACTGCTAATTAGGCCCGGCTGCTCCAGGAGCCGCTACCAGCTGCAGAGCAACGCAACCCAAGCATGTGTGTGATCTTTTTTTTTTCCATTCCCCACCTTATTCCGTGGAATGTCGAAGGCCAGCTTCCTCGTGTGAGGAACTTGAGACGCCACTGTAGTGTTTAGCAGTTGCTTTCCTTGCTTAGCACTTTTCAATTTCCCTTGTGAAACAAAAAAAAAAGGATACAGCCTCAAAGCTCCGGTCTGAGTCCCGACGGCCAGGATTTTCTGCACGGGGTCAAAAGCCATCGAGGACGGTTGATATGGAAAGCCATGACGCACAGTCTGCAGGAGAAAGCAGAATTTATATCATACATCTAGTCGGCCTAATCTATCATCTCCCACACAGTCCAGAGCTGGCTTGTGGAGGGGAAAAAAATATATTATCACCACCCCCAAAGATATATAATCCATCAATGTGCACCGTTTGTCCCATTTGTCTAACAAATTACACTAAATTTAAACAGCAGAGTTAAAACGGAGGGAGCAGGGGGGACTGAAATCAGTTGCGCAGGGGTCAGTTTTCGGCACAGCTGTATCGTCTGAAATGCGGTTTATTTCCAGGACCTTTGCAGCAGCCCAGCCGCTCAAGTACGATCATCACCGAGCATCTATAACGCAATTATTTCAGGTTGAGGACCTCGCTCGGCCGCCTGTGGTTTGTGCAGCTTGCAGCGGGATTACGCAACAGGTGACGCCACGGCCTCGTAACCTGGGGAACTGACCTGCTCTTCTCCCAGCTGCGGAAGGAGCTGATGGGCTGGCACGCCCGACGCTCAGCCCGCTTCCCTCAAATTATTCCCAACATTAAACCATAGATTTTACAAATTGCATGGAGGAGACCTTGAACGCCAAGCAAATAGTTATTTCTTTCATTCTGTGAAACAATACCAACGTTTATAGCGTCTTGCAAAAAAAAAAAAAATAGCATCCCTTGAACAACTTTCTGTTATTTTATGCAAATCGGTACGTTTTACTGGGTGTGATGTGAAATATGATAGTTAAATACAGAGCAGTCTAGGGAGAAATGCTGTCAGAGGCCACAGAAGACTTGATAATGGGTTGCAGGTTCAAACCTAAGCATAGAGACCTTGTTAAAAACCAAAAATGGCTAAGGGTTTCAATCTGTGTATTATAAGCCTGGCGGGCCACCAGGCTTTTCTTGTGCCCGCACTAGGCTTTTCATTGTTAATTTGTTAGGTTTTTTTTGTAATGATTGCCTTTTTTTAAGACTTTATAGATGTTTAGGTGTTAATCTTCCAGTCTTACAAAAATGGATAACTATCAAATGATATTTTCAAATTTCCTGCCAACTTTAAACTTGAGTTATTTTTCAAACAAGGATGGGCAAACGTTTCAGTTTTTAATTTCTAACATAGTAGAAAAAAAGAAACCACTTTTGCAGCTGTAACTGCAGCAAAAGGAGGATGTAAAGTTGAAAAAAGTAACATTTTCACAACTGTGGGAACATTCTGTGTTGGCCGAAAATAAGTACAATGAGTTCAATGTGACAAGATGTGTGTGTGAAAGTCTTATAGAGTCAGCTTAAAGGAGATTCCCCTTGTGATGCACTGAAAATGCAAACAATGGTCGCTGCTGTTTCTTCATTGCTAAAATGCAGCAGACATTCACATGAATGTGGGATTAGCAAATAGATGCATTCACTACAGTGGGACTTTTACTTTCTTTGGAAACAAGATACCAGTTTATACCAAGTGCAGCTGAAAACAAAAACACATTCATCACAACACAAAAGACTGTTGAATACTTATGCTGTGAGGGGATTTAACAATGAGGAGAGGTCCTACAGCAATCCACAGGCAGCCAGTGTGAACATTGTACCCTAAAGTAGTGCAGTGGAACACTAGGGAGCTAATTTACAATGATTAAACAGAGGGGGGGGGGGAGGGGATTTAAGGTTAAGTGTGCTGGATACAACTCAGTCAATGAATAAAATTGATTCCCCCATTAATGTCACCATAGCTCACACTCAACCTGGCGATTTTGATGCTGTTTGTACACTTTGTTTTCCACCCACTGAGCCGTGCTGATACAGATGAAAACAACGTTCACGTTTGGTCACGCCGCCGTCATCTGACACTTACAGTCCCGTCAATGCCAGCTCTCACTAACGGGAGACATACCTTGCACAGCTGAAAATGTTCCGACTGGAGAGTCTCCTGGACAACATCGTTTTCCCTGGGAGTACCCGGCTGAGCAGTTGCGGAGGAGGAGGAAGAAGAAGAAGACGCCGCTGTCAAGCCGTCCAGCACCTTCCTTATGTTAAACTTCTTCATTTTTTCCCCCCCGTTACAGACGCGACGCTTGAAGAAAACAGACCGAGCGAGCTACCATTAATTGGATTGAGACGGGGGTAGCTGCTAGCTAGTTAGCCGAAATAACGCACAGTTAATATCTTTCTCTGCACATCTCACATGTTACGGAGGGTGTTGCCAACGCACTCCCTAAAAGCGCCCGAGTCACAAGCATTGATTTAGAGTGTCCCTTCCGACAGCCGTGTTAATCCGCCATTCAGGAGGCAAGCTTTAACGTTATTTGATCGGGATCAATCGCTTCGGCGAGCTGCCTCACCAGCCAGCGCTCAGCGGGTAGCGAGCTGGCTACGGAAACGCAGTGAACTGCAGCGAGGACTGCGCCTGCGCGTTCAAGTGCGTTTCAGACAGGAGTTTTTTTTCTCGGTACAACACCGGTGTTACAGTGAATTCAGCGACCTTGCGAAATATAAAAAGGTGTTCCTTTCTGGTTGGCACATCCGTAAGGAGACATTGGTTAAAGTATCAACATTTTAAAACTGCACCTCAACAGGAAGTGGACTTTTTCAGTTCCTTGTGTTTCATACTGAAAATAAAACAAAACATTTTTCTGAGAAACATTGGCATGTTTTGTTGAATTATGAGCTAAAATTTTCTCATGGGTAAAAAAAGGTCGAAATTCAAAATTGTAAAAAAGTCGAAGAACCTCAAAATCCAACATGGCTACCACTCATTTAATTTTTGTTAACAAAAATCTGAATATTGACTTTCCCCTCTTCAATTATGTTGCCTTGTATTAGACTCATCTTGGTGCAAAAAATAGCATCACACCCAAATTAAATATACATACTGTGCCACCCTAACATTTTTGCTGGCCCTGTCCAAACAACCCCTTCGCTGCTGACGTCGGAATACTGACCAGGAGCACGAGTATGAGATGTAACGTGAAAAAGAAATAGTTATTGTTTATTTTTTTCCACTTGAAACTTGAAATAAATAAGAATTTCTTATCTTTTCTGTAGATAGATAGATAGATAGATAGATAGATAGATAGATAGATAGATAGATAGATAGATAGATAGATAGATAGATCCTATGTGCCCAACTAACCATTTGTGACTTAGAATATAAAGTTGTGTCTCCCCCTAGTGGCAGATCGGCCAACCTTCGCGTTCGAAAGCAGAAAGAATGAAGAATTTTCTACTGTCAGCTTCAATTTTGCTCTGGGTGTTTTACTGGTATTTTTACAGTGACTTACAAAATAAGATTGTTTGTAAAAATAAATAATTTATCTTGGAGCAAAAAGTACCTGTATAAGTACCTGTACCGCTTACAGATTTCCTTTTTTCACACTGAAATGTTCCAAACCATCATCATCATCATCATCAAAAAAATAAATAAAATAAAATAAATAAATAAATTAATAATAATAATAATAATAATAATAATAATTTGTCAGACAAAGATGATCTTAGTAATTACAAATTTCTTTGCAGAATATTTGTACATGAGCCATAATGGAGGCCTTTTGAACATGAACAACCTAAGGTCATGCTACAGCATCTCAGTAGATCTTTGGGTCTGACTTTGACCTTTGGTGTGCATCGTTTTCCTACACGAACCAACCAAGCAGAGGCAAAGATGACTGAATTTTCTCATCCAAAGCAGTTCTAGATCACCACACTGCCACTACCATGTTTGACTGTAGGTATGAGGTTCTTTTTCTGAAATACTGTGAATTTTATTCACAAATACCTTCCAAAAATGCCCACTATAGTTTTGAGTCCACACAGCATTTTACCAAAAAATTAGGGTTCTTCAAGATGTTTTGTTTGGAAAATTTCAGACTGGTTTTTATGTTTTATTTATTTCTTTTTTAAAACTATTATTATTTTAAATTGGTCAATTGTAATTGTAATCAACATTTTCTAGTTAAATTTATTATGTAACTCACATGTTCCTTGTCACCACGCAGCTTTTATTAAAAGCAGAATATTTTATTTTCTCTCTAAAGTTTTTGAGTTGCATACACCTTTCCCAAATATTATATGGGTTGATTTTTTTTAACTCAGACTCAGCTGTGCATATGCATGTTTTGTGCACTAGATGGCAGCATCTACCAACATTATGTTATCTTCCAATCCGCCGACACGTCCTGAATTAAATCTCGCAGCTCTCTTTCAACACCGTGAACAACCAACATACGGAGACATATTCACAATAAATGTGCCTTCCAGACTTAAAATGCTATGTTGTTTTGATTATTTAGTTCCTTCATATCTAGCTTTTAGCTCCCATCTACAGTTTATTTTCCCACAGCAAGTGGCACTCATGAGTGTGCAGGGAAGAAAATCCAATGTTGATAGTTCTATGTCTGCTTTCTACAGATAAGGAGTGCTGAATTTCCTCCATAGGCCATTTGGAAATGGGTCACTCGAGGCACATTATCCATCAAAAAAGAGGAACAGCAAGGCCACGAACATAGGTTCACTGTTAATAAGGCCTTTTTTTTTCTTTTTTTCTTTTTTACAAGTTAGGTTGCCTTTAAATTTTCATGCAACCATGCATATGTGAACAAAGTTCCCGGAGAAAATCCTCACTGGAGGGCAGATAAAATAAGGCATATCAATAATGTACAAGTAAAAGTATCCTCACCGAGAGTGAGTCTTCTTCAGACTGTCATATTTTCACACAACAAAACAAGAAGAGTAGCTTTTGTGTACGATGTAAGAAAAAGGGTCAGGGCTGGCAGTTTTGCTTGACTCCTTAACGCGGGTCTGTAGTATCTGGGGCATACAGAATACCTGAAACTAGCAATTATGTTTTGCTGCAGGCATAGTTGTCAGAGGATATAAATTTACAAGGTTTCTGGTTTAGGTACAGCCCATAAAATTTTTGCCACAATGCTAGGTTAATGCTAGCCTGCTTCATCTGTTCAAAGCCAGTTTTGAAGTTTTTGGGGTTATTGTCCAGTTGGAAGACCTCGCTGTGTCCAAGTTTAATCTGCTAAGCTATTGGTCTAAGGTGAATTTGAAGGTAGTTGTCCAAGAACAGTGTGGACAACTCAAGCTGAAGCTCTCACTGCATAAAGTTTTCACAGCACCACACTTTTTCCATGGCCTTATTCCAAATTGTATTAAATTAATCTCTTTCCTCAAAGTTCAACACACATATAACCCATTATGACAATGTGGAATTTTTTTTAACGTGTTTTGCAAGTTTATTAAAAATAAAATTCCAAATAACTCAATATCTGTCCTTACATACCACGAAGCATTAGCCAAAGCTAGTCCGCTTGGGCTTCTGGATTGTGTCTTTGGTTGCTCGCCTAAGTCGATGTTAAGCTAGCTTCATTGCTGTTTGTATGGAAATCAAATCTTTATCTTTTCCTTGCCTTTTGATATTCTCTTTAATGTCTTTTTTGCTATCGTTTGTCTTCTGCTTCTACTTAAACTACAGAAACTGCATTTGTGTATCAATCTTCAACCCTAATAACCTAATGTCCTTACACAGGTGTCCTGGATCCGAGTCCCAGCACCTCGGTCATTTCCCTTCTCTCTTTGGCCTACTTCCTGTCTATCTACGTATGAACAAAGAATATTAATTAAAAAAAAAAAAAAAACAGCTTTTTTTTTTTTTAAAGAACTGTACTTGGGGAAAGTATGGTGTGGAAAACTAGTCAGCAGGAGGGCAATGTACAGTTCTTTTTGTTGCATGGACAGAGAAATATAAATGGCTGTGCAATAAACATCTTCTTTTCTTACTTACATGTCCAAGTACTGAATCCACTTGCTTTTCGTTTTTGATTGCACTGCATTGCATTAGGAAGAAATTACTAAAGAGGACAGTTTTTCACAGCAACATTTTATACTTTTGAAATCCCTGCAGAATAATTAGGGCACCAACAAAGGAAGCATGATCACAATGAACCAGCTGACCATGACTTCAACCCAAGTCAAGAAATGGTGCAAAAATGCATCACTTGAGTTCAAAGTAAATTGTAGGTGAAGGAATGAGCACAGTGAAATGAGGCAGTGGCTCTCAAATACAGGCTCCTAAGAGGGACACTGTAGAAAAGTGCTAAAAAGATCGAGGCCATCTTGATTTCTTGACTGACTCAAAAGTAAACCACTACTTGGTGTGTACGGGTACATGTGTACACCCAAGATTCTGGCATGATTCTGAATTGGCTAACTGACCACGATTCTTGGCAGGACTTATTTGAATTGGTTGTTGCCATTAGCCTGTTTTTTATTGGGGGGGGAGGGGGGTTCATCCCAAACCCAGTTGGGATTATTGTCCTGTTAAAGAGGCAGTATTATGTAAAATGAACAGTTTTGAGCTTTACATCGTATTAAAGTGTTATTCCCTCATCAAAAACATACCTGGAGTGTTGCTTTGGTTCTTTCAGGCTTGTTTGAGAAATCCTTTAATCTCCATGGCAACCATTCAGATGTGCAAAACATGTGGGTGGAACTAGCACCGCCCTGGAGGACGAAGCTCATCTTTGGAGCCGCAGTTTCCAGTCTTATCTTTGACCCATCTGCTTCAACGCCCCCACTCAGCCCCTTCAGACTAGCCAGAAACAATTAGCAAACACCTGGTGGAACTGCTGAGCTCGTTATGCAAGCGACTTCACAGTGCAACTCTGGTGAAAACATTGTTAAAGAGCTAATAGAGGAGCCATGTTATGATGACTTCCTGAAGAGCGGGAATTTCTTAAAGAGACAGAGACTCAATTTCAGTGAATTAAATTACAAAGTCAAATTTCTTCTACGTCATGTTTGGCAGCATTTTTATAATAACTGAAGGTAACATAGTTACTTGATTGTGCTATAAAATGACACTATGTCACTGAAAAATACATAATACTACCCCTCTAATTATCAATAGTAAAATAGTAAGATAATGTGAATTTATTTCCTATTTTTCAGGCTATATACCGACGCTGTTTCTATTAGGGAACATATGGTCTTTCTTGGATATTTCATAACATTTTCAGCCAAAATAAGGTTGAGCTCACTGCAGTACTTCGCCTCCAGCTGTTAAAAATCTCTCGGTGGTCTAAACTCTAATCAACCAATAATTATGCGCAAGACTTGCCTAATGGATGTGTAAATCTCAAGTTGAAAAAGCACCGTTTTAATGAAGAATGCTCATAATATATTGCACCTCTGCTCTCTCTTGTGGTGCTTATGAGGTTTGAGAGATTATTAGTTTTGCAGCTTCTGGCCTCTTGTTCTTAGTAGATCAACCACTCAGCGCCTCTTCCTCATACAGGGAAGCGTGGTAGACTTTGTGTGTCACGCTGATCTGTTTAATATCCTGACTGTATGAGTGGCTTATCATTAAATGAGCAGCAGAGGTGTTTATTA